TTACAAGCCTCGGTCATCCCACCGATCTGGTCGCATCCCGTGTAATATTACTCCTATAAGACTCCTATAAGACTCCTATATTTTCTTAGATATCGCGTTTATCTTCGAAGTACCTGTTTTTTACAATCGAGGATCAATCAATACAATATATCCATATGCGCTAAAATTATCATGGTAATTATGATATGACAATCATTTCAAGTCAATCGGGCATATTGTATAATACTACTTTCGTTAATTTTTTGCGATCTGGACCTAAAGTCACACGTATTGTGTTATGAGCGAAGTTGTTTTTAGGTTACTTTACCAATAAACAGTTGGACAAATACTTCTACAATTCAACATATTCTGGCCTTCATGCTAATTCGACTCGGTGCCATCAGTTATCCCCATCGTTTAAAAGAATTCACCCTTCGAAGAGCAAAGGTTTGTTTCTATAGTTTTGTTGTGTTATTGTATTTCAGTATATGGGTTAATAAATAATCTGATAAAAAACTTTTTACTTCAGATTCTGATTACTGTAATATGGATTGTAACTTTTATCGGAAATAGTTGCTTCCCGATGTGGTTCTTAAGAGTACATGGCGCAGACGAGAAGAGTTTCACTGGTACAGCGTGCGCTACTGATAAGGCTAAGTAAGTTACAATTTCCAATATAAATTTCCAGAGTGATTTTTCAAAACTTCATTTTATTGAAATAAGTTTTCGGGAAGTGTATGAATATTAAATATCAAGATACTATGGTTTATCTAATGTGTCCATTATTTTTTGAAGATGGCCAATCGTAAGAAAAGTTTCCTACGTGAGACAGACTTTTTTCTTGTATATTCCAATGATTCTCATCGTCACATCTACGCTCCTTCTCATTAGACTGTTGATAATTCGTCGAAACAAGAAACAACAAGGTAAAAAAGGCGTAGAAACAGATACCAGGTAGTACAACAGAGTCCCAACAATTTTTTTTTTCATATATTTCAGAAAAAAATGACAATTCCGACGTCAACAAAGAAAATGCTGCATTGATTCAACTGTCGTTCATCGTAGCTTCGTTCTTAATTGGATATTTACCGGATTTTGGTATATATTTTTTATTCGCCATTCATTGTTTTTAGTCACTGATCTTGCCCGTGTTGTAACTATATGATTGCTTTCCAAAGTGAAATTTCTTTTATTGATATTCGACATAGAAACAATTTAACAATATAAATAATGAGCTATCATATGAAAATCAAATATTGCAACCAAATGAACTATCAAATTGCAATTACTAATGAAATACAAATAAACACATAAATTAGATTTTGACATTAATAAGAATTTATTCTCATCCCCAGCAATTAGGCACATTCAAGATACATTGCTGATCAAAATAAACTGGGGATCAAAATTAAATTGTCACATGTACGTTTAAGAAAGGATCTACCGGGATGGACTGGTAATGGGACGAGAGGCCACCGTTCGCCGTTCTAATGGCTTTTCTCTTCCCCGGGAAAATATGTGAATCCTATCTTATCCTTTTACCTATAGTTGTGGCTACTCTTTGGTGGTATCAGATGCGTTGGTATTCATTTGTGTTTTAACTGTGACTAGCATGTGTATAGTGACAAAGCAGCATATCATTCATACATTTCCGCCTGCTTTTATGTATCTTGCAATGTGTTATGACAGCTTATCTACTTTTGCAGGATTCAGACTTACGTTAATGATTACAAATAGCATGGGTATTGAATTCCGAGGAAGAGGTCCTTGGTTATTCAGTATGTTATCTCATCTTGTTCAGAGAGTCACAGAATGTCTAAATCCAATATTTTACAATCTAGGATCTAGGTAAGTTTATTTTTTAGTATCACTCATTTTTTATTCAATAAAGCATGATGTGATAACTGCTTTCTAATATTCTTTGTTCCCAATTATATTCAGTCATCTGAGAGAAGCTACCAAACAATTTCTCGGCTTCGGGGAGGAAGTGAACGCTTCATCGATTAAATTGAGTGAAATGCAGAAAAATAACCAACATACCAATGTAAGTGTATAATCAGATGGAAACAGAAATTTCATGTTGGACAGAGGGAAGACTGAAACTGAATTGCACAAATGTAATTTTTCATTATTATATACTTATCAGAAACATTATATATTGTTATATTTAATATTTGATTTTTAAGTTTTATTTTTATTTGCCTAAATTATGTATTGCTATGATTTGAATTGAGATAATGAAGACTGGTAAAGATTTACAGTTGGTAAGACATTGTATATTGTTATATTTGACTTTTGGTTAAAGTTTTATTGCTATTTGATATTTATAATTTATTACAACACTGCATAAATTATGTATCGTTATGATATAAATTGAGATATTGAAGATTTACAGCTGGTAACCAGAATCATTAACTACAGAAATATTTTTATATGGAAGTTCCATGCATTGATGAGAGTTGCGACTTTCATGAAAAAGTGTTCGGCATGTTTCAGTAATGTATATATAATCTTGTATTCGTAGTTGTCGACTAGTTATTGGGCTAACTTTGTCGGTTATTATATATGCGATTGTTTTATCGTATTTTTGCGTAGTTCAGGGATGGCTGTGTGCAGGATATAGCTGGATTATCCATTATCACTGAGTAGTTTGCTCAACGATTAACTGATGGCAGTTATCTCATCTGGATAACCGGATAACATCATTATCTCTATTCTTATCTGGTGGTCTGTTAAATTGGCATGGTACGACGTCAAAGGCACAATGACATAACATGCAGTGTGTATATGCTACCGTGGTAATGCCAAATGATGAAAGTTATATTGCATTTTCGTCATAACATTAGCTGCCTCAGTTACAAAATTTTCAACTTATACAAGAGCACAATAAAAAATATATGAACGCAAGGCACGGACTTCGTTACAGTCCAACCGCGACTAAATACACGTCTCTCAGTGATTATGGGAGATTACGGAAAGGAGCCCAGAGAGAAAATTATAGCTTCATTTAAGCAACTTTCATGTTCATCTAATGATATATATAAAGTGATTAGTTTATAGTGCGTATCGATTAGCATTGGAAGCATTATCAAATTGTCAATAAAATTAAAAGATATAAAATTTTAAATTCCAATTCCTTTTATAATATTGTTACATACTTAATGTAGGAAATTGCCTGACTGATTCACAATTAGTTTTGCATCATATAACGCCCATAAAAAGGGACGAATGAAGTAAAAATGCAACTCCTCAAAAAGTTAATTACCCTGCCACAGAAAAATCTGTAACGGATTTGATCGAAATAAACAGAATTTCTGTGGTTGTTTAATTAATGGTTTCTTATAGAACTGAAAAAACATTCCTGCGAGCATTCATTCCTAATGCCACCATATTGTTTTCGGGGCGTGTATTGCTCTCATTTTCGTACCAACCGCTTGAAAATCACGCTTCGTGGCATATTACTGGTTCCATGCGGTTTTGAATTCAATAATTAGGAAACAAAGAAATAAATATTTATTTTATTTTATATATATGATGCATAGCCTTGTTTGCCCTTACTGTAGTGAAAATATGTTTAAAAAATAATTTTAATCCCAAATTCGTGTGTAAATATTATAAGATTAAATTGTTTAAATTAAATTTCCAATAAAAAATGAAGTTGGATTTACCCAGTTTTCTTAAATATATTATGTTTATAATATTTCTATGTAACGGAAACAAAAACTCGCGTTAGCGCTCCAATTTCTGGAAATATTCAATGATCATACAGCCTGAGGCGACTGACACGGATACTTATCCGATAATCTTCATCCGCAAAGGGGATAATTATCATCAGAGCAGATAATTTTTGGCGACGAAAAAAGTTATTTCTAGACTTTCTATGTCTTTATTGCTTGAAATTAGACAATATATCGTGACTTATATGAGTTATTGAAATTTAATTACAAATGTTCGTGCAAAAGTACATATTCGCTTTCTAATGACACACTTAATTTCTGGAAAGTCAAAATCTTGAGAAAATGAGACGTATTTGTTCAGCTCGGCGCACCAAGTATGTATAGAAAAATACCTCAAAAACAAGTACTCTATATAGAAATTAATGTGAAGTATAGCTGAGAGTATTCCCGAATTGAATAATATAATTCACGTTGATGTAATTCTAATCAAAAATGTTTAGAACTAATTATTTTATATGAAAAATTTCAAAAAGTTCACAAAGTTGAGGCAACCATCATGTTATGAAAATTACTAATTTATTTTTCATTTTTAATCAAAAATCTTTCGTACTAGGATACTAAAGCTCATGACGCTTCCTATAGTTGAAGATTATACCAAATGTACGTAAAATCGAATCGGGCAAAAGTTGTTATTTTTTTCAAAACTGTTTACTGATGATTTTCATTATTCTCAAGCTTCCTAAGGTTTTAACATGATATAGCGCGGGAGAGCGTTAAAATTTGAAAGTGATTACACTTTTCCTGAAACCAAAAAACCATAATTGGCAACTTTTAGATATGTAATTTAACCAATTTAAAGTGAATTATATAACTGACAATTAATCGGTCATTTCCATAAAATTAGGTTGTGTTAAAATGATATCAAATGTAAGAACCTTTTTTTGTATCTTTTAGCGAAATTATATTATCTCGTTTCATTAGTTTCACAAACAGTTTTACTTTTCTGCGGGGAAAAATAGAAACGTAGCATCAAGGAACTTTACAAATTATTATAAAGAAGAAATGGAATTAGCTTTTGTTGATCTGGCAGATTAATTCAATATTATAGCCATAGATTGAAAAAGAGAAGAATATATTTCCTGAATGACACTCGTGTAGATATCTAGTTAAAATACACCAGAACTGTCGCAGGCCATTAAAATTACATTTTTCAAGTCTCAAAATATTTGTAAAAAAACCTATTTATTAAAACTTTTGAATTGTGTATTGTAGGTTCCTCCATATATCAGAAAAACTTTAAATTCATTATCTTTAATCGCGAATGCTGTTTGTGATTATTCTATAATGGCTGATCTTGTACTGGAAGTGCAAAAACACGGGAATGTGACAGAAACTTTAACAAGTATTGATGCAGATACAGCAATCAATGCTTCAGCTGCTGTTCTCAACAATATGACGTCTACAATATCATCAACAGCAACAAGGGAGTACGTATGTTATAAGCATCAGAAAATAACTAATTAAACGACAAGCATTTGCTCTTCACAAAAAATGGCTTCACTCATATATATACAGGGGTTGGTGGATAGAAAAGCAGAAAATTTGAAAGTCAGATGAGATCACGAATAAAATGCATATATATAGGTTGAACTGCAACGATATCCCACAAGTTAACCTTAAAAACGCTGCACGAGCTTGGATTTCTAGATGAAGACACTTTTCTGAAGTGCACGGGCTACATTTTGAGCATCTATGAGTTGAATATAACATATGCCTTTAAAAACCTAATAAAAGTCTCAGAAGCTGTACTTATTATAATCCAAAACATATCATTGATTTTTAAATAAATATAAAAATCTTGTAAATTAGGATTGAAAAAAATTTACGATATGTTTCGGATCAGGATAAGCACTATTGTTGCTAAAGTTTGTTGAGATTGCATACCGAGGGGAAACGGCTTATTTTATACATATTACGACGACATGTGTTCAACTGAGCCTTGTGTTCTCATTTCTTCTCAAACATATTTCATGGATAAACAGAATAGAAACTATATCTACTTTTACCCTCATTGATGAATATAGATACTCAGACACAAAATCATATTTTCGATTAATATGATGCATATTTTTATTGGTAGAAATAAATAATGATATCATAGCTTCGGTTACATTATGCTTGCCATCATTGTTATTGGTAATATTACAATCTTTACAGTGAAGCATGGGAAAGAGGACTCTTCAATTTGGCTGAAGCGGTTTCATTTTCTGTTGCTATTGGTGTCATGGTCATATTTGGACTTGTTGCGAATCTGCTCACAATTGCTGCCATTGTCAAATCGAGAAAACTAAGATCGTAAGAATGTTTTATATCGCCCATGGGCGTGCTTTAAATGTATTAAAATGTTTTCCTATCATTCGTTGCATGCACGTAATATGAAATAAAATTAAAAATTTAAATCTAAATTATGGGAAATTACCTTATAAAGTCTTGTTTATACTTCGAATTCTAAAGAAAACTGAGTTGTTGTAAGTTAGATTTTAGAATAAAAAAATGCTTTGATGTAAAATTACAAACACTGAAACGATAGCGAATAAAATTTTTATTATTTTATGAACACGAAACGCGAAAATTTGGAATACAAGTTAGTATACTCAAACTATTATTTCGATACAGCCTGTTAAACGGAAATGTTAAAATGTTATTCTATTGGTAAACGAATTGATAAAAGATTTGTCAGACTTAACTGACATTCAACTGGTGGAATGCATGACGCAAAATGCTGAAGTATAAACAAGAATATATATAGCCAATGTGAAGTGAAAGTTTTCTGACATAAAGTAACATCTAGTAGAACTATTTTATCTATTTTAAGGTCGCCTTTCAATGTGATGATCATAAGCTTGTGCGTCTCTGATCTAATTTCAACAGCAAACAGTCCTTTTGTTCTGTATTGGAAAACATGGGGTGTATTTGAGTTTAATCTCCCTCTTTGCTTTTGCAAGGTAATTTTTTTCTAAATTGAAGAACATTTTCCGCTAAGTTTCTTTATATCATATAAAATTCACGATAAGTGTTCTATCTTTGTCTAACACATGGCATTATTTTATAGTCTACCTTGTCGATAGATATATGGACAAACGCCGTAACTATTCAACATATTCTGGTATTTATATCTATACGATTACTTGCTGTTAAATATCCTCGACGCATGAAAGACTTCACTCTTCGTAAATCGAAGGTTAGCATGTTGGTTGATTAATATTAAATATATGTTTTTTGAATTATTGAGATATTTTGGCGGATAATCATATGCCATCGATCTCCACAATCACTCAGCTCAGTGGTCAAAGTTTACATGTATGGCCAGAAAACCTTAATATTAGTGATGTCTCTTTCATCTGCTACTATTTATAAAATGTGTTTACTGAACCCAAGAAATTTAAAAGCAATATAGTGTTCCATATCCTATTTGAATACACTCCATAAAAATTAATATATCATCGTTTTATTATAATTATATTATTGTGGCTCGATTAGGATAATATGGGATTTTCATATCTATCCCCGGGGAGTGGAAAACCGATAAGAAGGCTTAATCATATGGCGAACCACGGCCTCTCGTACGGTTACCATTCCATGTCGTGTATGGGATTAGTAAGTTGTTCGTTTTAGTAGTCATGGACTTGATGGTGGAGGAAGCCGTGACAACCAGCGGTCACGTGAACCACCTTACGACGGCGAGGAGTCCAGTAATCCTCTCGCACATAACTATCCCGCATGGGATTCGAACCTGCGAACCCACGCAGTGTAATCAGAGGTGCGGTGGCGAGCGTATTCCAAAAGCTTAGCACGGTGAGCCACACCGCCGCGCGCAGCAAGATCGCAAATGAGTGTGAAAATTTGCTATTTATAATGAAAGTACTATAATTAAATTCGTTATGCGTCATTAGAAAATCATATGATTTTCATTCTAATCATGCGTTTTCTTTCTAGATCGCGATATTTGTGATATGGGTAGAAGCGGGAGTAGTAAATCTTGGTGCCATGGCGTGGAGTTTGCACAAATACCCATCAGGATCACTTAGTCCAACAGGAAAATCTTGCAGTGTTTACGGGCCAAAGTGTGTATTAGACTAATTTTTCAGTAATAGTCTGCACGCCAGATGCGTTTGTCGTGTAATAGTAGGGAGACAAACAGGAAAAAATAATATTTTTTAAAAAATGTACAAAAACTTTTATTTGTATATATAAAAGATTTATAAAAATCACGGAAAAGCGTATATATATTGCGATGTACAACTCCTCTTCTTGGTATGGTGTAGTGTAGAACACAAAATAATTCCATAATTGGTGCATATCTGATGATGGTTTTTAAAATATGAACCATATATACCTGTATATATATAACAAGCACCAATCAAGATATTTACTAGAACCGTAATTTAAATGTTTAAATTCGCTTTTGGTAATATTGTATGAAATTAGTAGTCTGTAACTCTGTATTAGTATATATATATATATATAGTTCATGTGTAATTGCAGATTCCTAAATATTCTTTTCAGGAGTCCAACATTGCGAATGTTTACTTATATTACATGGCCTTTATATTTTTACCTCCCTACTTTGATCATTGTGATATTGACGTTCGTTCTGGTGCGAATACTCATCAAAAGGCGATCTCTTAAACAACAAGGTAAGATTTGTGCACTGACTGTTATGGCAAATATTCGCCATTCAGAAAATTTAATTTAACCGGTAGGTATATTTTTAATTGTGAATATGCAGTTCTATGTGAATAAGTTAACTTATCGTTATCACAGAAAGGAAGATGCAAATTATTAGACAAATTGGAAAAAGAGACATGAGTAAAAGAGTATTCCTGACAATATAGCAAAAATGTAGAATTGAATAACGTTAATTTAAAAGATGAAGGTTAAAAATCGTAAATTTACCGGTAACGTGGTTCCGTCATACTTTATAAATTCTAATTTGATAATCATATACCAGATTCTTTAGTTTCAAACACATGTGTATTTTTACGATAACTTTTGGAAGAATCTTCATAAAACTGAATACTTGATTCTTCTATGAAACAAAATCTATCTATAAAGTATCAAAAATAGTTGGATTTGTGTATTTCAAATCCATTCATACTTGAATATATTCGAATTTTACTAATCCGAACTCAAAATTCAACTGACGTGTCAGACGTTTGGTGTCAATGTATAAAATGATATCCAAGTTATAGAAAAGTTAGTCATATCATTTTAAAACTATCTGCGACTCGCAAATAGATCTAGCCTATTTTCAAAAATATCCGGTACTCCCCCGTATTCCTTAAGTTTTGTGTGATATATGAGACTATATGTATGAATCAAAACAACAACAAAACGCACTAAGCTTAAAAGTTTCAGTGATGAAAATACAAAACAAAATCACTATTTTTTTATTACAGCCAAGAAAATTGATGCAAGCATAAGGAAAGAAACTGGCGCACTTGTTCAACTATCCTTTATTGTTGCTTCTTTCCTGATTGGATATTTACCGGACTTTGGTACGTTTTGAATCAATTGCTTTATTTTAAATTGTGGTGGTCGTGTGCATACGACCAATTCTCAGACAAAGAAGCCCCATAGGGATTGGAAAAACTAGAGTCAACATTTTAGTTTAATAAAACTTTAGTATAATATTCAATCACTCATTACCTATTTCGAAATAAAAAAACAGCACTGATCGGAGTTATGAAATGTACAAGTCGTTTCGAATCGATTTTAGTGTTTTCTCTCATTTTAATATATTTAATGGAAGGCATCATTTTTGTGCGGTTAATAAATATGAACCCTCTAGGTAGCATATTATCGGGGATAACATTGTGCTTATAAATATAACAACACTTTCCCAACTCAAATTTACTTTCCCGAGTAGTCTAAAAATACCAATAAAATTTATTTGAGCGCCTGAGATGGCGTCAATGTTTTGTTTTGAGCCAAGGTTGTTAGACAACGAACCCCGCATTAAAAAAAAATCTTATAGTATTTAAAAGACATTGTTGTCAAAATTGCGTTTTTTCTTAAAATATGCCTTCAACATTTTTTTCTGTCACGGAGGAGGGGATAATTAGTAGCCACTTTCATTGGGCTCTGTACAAACTTAAAAGATAAATTCTTCTGTAAAAAGGCTGATAAATATTAACCTGTTCAATTAACTGAAGACATGGCAGGCTCATCAATTTCGAGATCTATCTGCAGATGGATATGTGAATGTGCAGCATGGTAACAACGTGACTAATAATAATAAATATATATACATAATATATATGCTTTTGCAGGTTACAGGCTAACTATGGTAATAACGAGTCTCCTTGGAATTAAATTTTATGGAAGAGGACCATGGTTATTTAGTATCACGTCTCATGTCTTCGTTAGAATATCGGAATGCTTGAATCCTATATTCTACAATCTCGGATCCAGGTATGAAAATTACACTATTTTCCTATAGAATTATGTATATACCAGCAGGAAACAACTTAGTTCTGTGTTTAGTGCCTAACCCTACAAAGGCATTGTAGATTAGTCATTTGGGTTTGGAGTCGTATTCGCGAGCATAATACAAACTCACAGTTCAAATGCCTGTTCAATTACGCAAGTATAGAATGACGTGGTAATCTGTGATAAGCCTAAAACAGCAGCCATTTCAAATCAAGTAAACATAGTAACGTTTAGTCTCAAATAGAGGGACGCTTTGAAATAGTCTGCTTCGAGGGTGACAAGGAGCAGCAAACCCCAGACCAACTGTAGGCTATATATATATATATATAACTGGAAATTCATACAGAACATTTTTTTTATTATTAATAACAGTCAGATGAGGAAGGCTACGAAAGATCTTCTTGGAATAGAAGATAATAAGCGTTCAACATCTACTCCGATAGAAACGAAATCGAAGAAGAAAGAGAATATCGAAACATCTATCCCAATATCATCAAGTAAAGATAAAACTCGCCTATAGAGGTGCTGTAAATAACGATATCTCGTCCCATGATTCCTTACAAATTGCACATTTTATACTGTTATACAACGTTCTCATGCGATTGACCGAGGTAAGCGATTGTTCCAGTCCAGTAAACTTTTCATAACTCATGCCTCTGATTCCGAAGCTAATATGAGAACAGAATATTGGTTGTTTTACCTCGTATACAGATAAATTAAGGAAAACGATCCTTTGATTCTACGACAATACTCAATTATTGGACACGAAATGCACATGTATATGGAATGTTTTGCCAAATTTCTGTTGTTGTTGAAGTTTGTCTTGTAGGTATTTGGAAAAATCGCTTTTTGCTGCAACACACGGAACAATCGATTTTAAATTTTCAGTAGTTAAAAACGGGAGAAGTCGCTCGAAAACTACATTTTATTTCTCATTTAACGCTCATTCGACCGATTCTGTATTGCTAGTCTGCTGATCCTTTCAGCGAACTCAAGTGATTCTTGACTTCAACGCGTCGGTACCGGTACCGATGTGCACCCTTTGTGTTTTATAAATTTGAGCGTTGCTCACTTATTTCTCTTATATTATTATATTTTAAACAGCGTCTCAGGTTTTCTTTGTCTACACAGTTCCCTAATCAAATGCTTCTATTGCATATTGTGCCCAAATAAACGTACACTTATTCACATCCATGATAGCAATGGCATTTTGGAGTGTCAAAAAATGCGGTGTGTACGGTGACTTACCACCTCTCTTACCAAGTAGTGATAGAGGTTGGTACAGTAAACTTCTTTAGCGCAATCTTGTAAGAATTGAAAATTATGCTGGTGAGATAATCGAATTTTTTCGAGGTTTTCCGGTCCCGGGAGCAAACATTTGAATTTACCTGTAAATAGGGGACTAACATAAAATCTTATTGAAATAATAATTGTCGTGACATCCTGCGATTTTTTAAATGTTTCAGAGTTCGAATATTGGCAATTTTGTAAAAATAGAAATGTTTGTCAAAATAATCAAATTATTTCGAACTTTTTCGTTCCCTGGGACAAAAATATGATTTCACCATTGAACAGACAACCAACATTTCGATCTATTTTGGGTTCGAATATTGGCAATTTTGTGACCATTTTGACAAGATAATGAAATTATTTGGAAGTTTTCCGTTTCGGGGACAAAAATTTGAATTTAACTGTAAATAGAGAATTAATATATATTATATATATATATAATTTATCGCAATAAAACAATTCTCGAGACATCCTGCGATTTTTCGAGTAATAGTGCGGCGCCCCATTTAGAAGCCACTGTACAAGCGTGAGGATTACACTCGTCATCGAATCTCTGATTACCCCACATGGGCTAGCAGGTTCGAATCCCGCGAGGGGGTTTCTGGAATCCTAGCCGCCTTAGGGTGGTTCATGTAGCCGCTGGTCGGTGACGGCTTCCTCCAACATCAAGTCCATGTATCTGAAACCGATAACTGACTAATAACCGTGTTTCCCCGAAAATAAGACCTAGCCAACAGCGCAAATTTTTTTTTGATCTAGTGACCTAGTCGATAGCAAGAGATCTCTTATACACGTTTTAAATGATTAATCTAAAACGTGTGAGAGAGGAAAACGTTTTTATAAGTAAATGGATATCGGTTTTCGTATTTTTTATAATTTATTTGAAAATCTCGTAATTCTCTACTTCGTATTTTTGTTTTTGGTGAATAAAAATAAAAGACATCCCTAAAAACAGGCCCTGGTGTCATTTTTCGAATAAAAATTGAAGTAATACCCAGTTTTATTCTCTGGGAAACACAGTAATCACATACCCACTCGGACGAGAGGCCGTAGTTCCCTCAATGATTTAATCGCCATATCGACTTGATAGGCCCCTGGGATAGGTATGTATATCGTATTCAACGGTGAAATCGTATTTTTTCCAGCGGGAATAATAAAAAAAAAAAAATTTGATCATCTCGTAAACAAGGGCAATTTCTACGAACTTGCAACCATTCGTATTGCAATGAGTCCGAAACTCACAGAATGTCACAATTTTTATTGTACTAAAATAAGTTAAGTATTAGATGTCATGTTAGTCCTCTATTGTAAAAATATAACTTAAAAATTCTGATCTTTATTTTACGATGCAAGTACACTCGCTGGTATTAAGGCGATTAGAATAAACTATAATTTGACCGGATTTGATGCAATTCTGATAAATACGACACGATTCTCATCACAGTGTGGTACTACATCAATCAGAATGCCTTTATACATATTTCCACCGTGTCCAAGAACCTCTTTGGAAGGTTGGATCAATCTGCGCCACCTTGATGTAACTAATCCTGTTTGTTTTCTGTAATAGGCCATGGGCCCATTGCTAATATATATTATCCGATTTTATATCCTTTGACTAAAATAGTTGAAAATATGTATCCTTGACTATATATCATTTATTATCAATTGGCTTTTCTACAAACTGAGTCACATTTCTGGCATAAACATTAAAGCAACAGCATTACTATACACTATTAAAGCTTACTGTGAATAAGGTAAGCAGAGTTTCAAAGAATAAATCATGTAGAAAGTCATCAATATCCATTTATATGAGACAGTGCAACAACAAAAAGCATGGAAAATAAAACATCAGAGGTGTAGTACAGGGTCAGCATGTCAGATCTAGTAGGCAATGCAGAGAACCAGGAAATGCCGTTTAAAAAACAAAAAAACCCACTTCAGTCAGGTAGTACAAAATAGGATAGGAAATAATGAAAATTCAGGAACATAATACCATTACATGATATTTCGCTATATATCAGTGCTGGCTTCTTGTCTAGAGCCCAAAACCAAGAATTCAGATACATTGAAAGAAAATATGGCTATTTGCTGCCATGTAACGCAACACAAAATAACAGGAATGATAAAGCTATATTTGAGATAAATTGGCAATACATCTGAACATCAACAAAACAGGCTTAATTTAGTTAAAAATGAATAATTTTCAAGTGCTATATACCAAAACAATTAATTGCCCTAAAAAGTATGCATAATCAATGGCCAAATTTAACAATCAGCACTCAGCAGTATATAATGATTGTCAATATTACAGCTTTTCTGTCACATTCTGACCTATCGTGTAACAAAATTAATAGTGTATATAGCAGTGGTTACAACCGAAGCCCATGGCCCTTCAATGGGACCACAGAACATTAGCTAGCCCCAAATCTAATTTCACTTTATACTTAAGAAAAATCCTCATTTCATGCTTGATAAGGTTATTTCACAGGGTGTTTTGACTTTGTTAAGCATGACTTATTTGAACATACTGGGATTTGGAATCCACCAATAAAAATAACACCATAAATACCACTGGAATGATAAACAGGAAACCATCATTGCTGAGAACCTCCGAAGGGGGGGCATCAGTGCCAAAAGCTTCAGGAAGAGGGGCCACGAGCCAAAAAGAGTTGGGAACCATGGGTATGGTGGATTATTAGCAATATAGTAGTAACCCTTGACTAGGGTTACCATATTTTTCTAACTTCAAAGCGGGACGATACAAATGATCCGAATAATGAAATAGTCTGCCGATTTCAAGCATTGAGATTTACATATTCGCCCAAGCATGCTTTTCTGTAGATAACGCCTTCAAAAAGACGTTGTTCAATGTTCAACAGGACCAATTAGAATCGATTTTACATGTGATACTTTGCTAACAATTTTAGCGGGAAACAACGAAACAAACAAAATAACACATTCACCTTCAGTAAGTAGGCTAGCGTTGCGCTACACAGCAACAACAGTAATGAAAGCATGTTCGTTTATTATGCTGGATGGCTAAACGCCAAAGCCGGACCTGAGTTGGCTGAGTTATCGGGACAAGATGCTAAAAAGCGGGACCGTCCTGCCTGAAGCGGGACGTATGGTAAGTCTACCCTTGACATAACATGGAATGCTTTGAAAATGGCCAATTTTTGAAAAACAATTATACTGAAGTTTTGTTATATTGCAAACATTCAGGAGGTAATTACTCATTGTTTTATCGATTGTGTGTTGCAAATACTTTCAGCAAGAACAGACTTACCGTAGTGCAAGGAATTGGGTAAATAATAATTTTACAATGATTTGATTAAATAAAAAAATGCAATATATATTTATTAGTTCATAAAACATCTATAATGATTAGTATAAAATCAAGAAAAAATAGCTAATACATAATGCTAATGATATACAAATATCAGCTAAAAGCTAAAACTTTAATGCATAAGATATACAGCAAATTAGGATAAGAAACTACATGTTATTGACATATTGGCAGTGGGATTATGGCAATTTGATTCTATAAATCAAACCTACCAATCTCATTTGAATGAAATCCAGCCGATTACCCTTTCTTAGAGGAATGATGTTTTTGTGCAATTCCATATGGGACATGAGCTGAAGGAACACCATGTTTTTGTCCACTTTCAACATTCTTAATTTGATCATCAAAAAATATGTGAGGTTGTATTTTTTGTAAAATTGGTCCTTTTGGCGCACCCGCTAAAAACAGGGCTTCGTCAATGTCAAGTCCCCAACCACGAAGAGTTTTCAAAGCTCGTATTCCAGAACTTGCACCGCTTCGTGCAGTCACAAGATAAGTCCTGATAGGGCAATCTTCAATCAAACCTTTATCATGGAACTTTTTTTTCATTTTACCAAGTGTCATTGCAAATTGGTGAAGGGGTCCGACATCCAGAGGTTTATCTGCCATTTCGAACTCGTGCTCGAAAAACTTATTTAACCCTTGAGTCTTCGCAAGAATTTCAGCCTCATCTGAAAAAAGAACTGCATCTCCATCAAAAGCTACTCGGAGCTGTTTGCTGGACGAGTCAACATGACTGACTGGTGAGACAACAGCTGAAGCGATTCCATCACTTAAAGCTTCAATAACACTGCAGGAGTCAACAGATAGATATAAATCAGTATCATAAGCTTTCAAATACCCAATAACACTGTTTCCAGCAGTGAGGCAAATTCTTTCTACCGTCAGGTCATGGTAGTTTATTGAATTTATCAATGCAACACCTATTTGAGCATGATTGTTACTCATGAGAACAATATCGAATAAATGTTTTTCATTTAAATCCATTTCCAACAACCTCTCATTCACGGAGTTCAAAGCTCTAACAAATGGAAATGCCGCCCCAGGTTTGAGTGGTTCATCTTCGTGTTTCAAAACATGATCAAGATATGGCTTTAGTCCTTCTTCCGCATAAATTTGCCGTTCTTTAGTCATGTCAAAGAGAGCACGTGAAGAAACGCAAACAATTACAGCATCCTCAGGTTTTGGAATGGGCCATTTCTGAATTTTCTTTGTTTCTGAAGACTCGCTGGAATCAGGTGTCTTGCCTAATTTTGTCAGCTTTACCGGTACTTTTTCTGCAGATTTTGTTGCAGATCCTAACATTGTTGGGTTTTTTAATTTCATATGGACTCAATGTTCTCTATTTTCTGGTAATCAAAAACAAATTTTCAAAATTTACTGCCATACCAGTACCGTAGCCTACCGATATAGCAGCGTCTTCATAGTCTATATACATACCGGTATTACCCTTTCCACAAGTCAGCAAGTGGAAATCATTAATGCATCAGAGTGATCTGGGGTCTCATGTAGTTTCGTACGTAACATACTTCTAGTGGGCTAGCATAACAATTTTTTCCCGTGTCAATCCTAACCCCCACCTGACCACACCATCCAAAAATTACGTCACTACGTCGTAGTGACGTAATAGAGCCCTTCAAACTATGCGAACTGTCACCCAACCACTGAACTGGAAATGGTCCCGCGAAAACGAGAGAGAAGCACACTCTATATTTATATATCTCTGTGCACCCAACGCGCGCAGACGAGAACCCGAAATCGAACATCCATTTCTCTCGTTTTCTCGTCGCAACGATCCCGATAGGAGAGAGATCGCTGACGTTAGTCAGTTCTTTATCGTCGGCGCCGATGCCATTTCGGGCGATCGTACGAGAATTTGGCAAGCTCTATGACGTGATTGTGACGTCGTAGTGACGTAATTTTTGGATGGCGTAGTCAGGTGAGGGTTAGGATTGGCATGTCAAAAATTGTTATGCTACGCCTATTAGAAGTACGTTAGGTACGAAACTACACGAGGCCCGTTAAGAAGACCATGTTTCACAGCAGATATGCTGAATCTGTGCAATTAAAATAATTTCGACATTTCTAAAATTGATATTTATGTGGGAACAATGAAATATAAGGCGGTGGTTGCATAATCAATATCATGGTTTAGTGCATGTTTAATCAGATTGTAGGCCCTGACTCGTACCGTAACTTTTCAAAACACCCAAGCATACAAAACTCGCTATGGCGCGGCGGTGTGGCTCAACGGGCTAAGCGTTAGGAATACGCTCGCCACCGCACCTCTAATTACTCTGCGTGGGTTCGCAGGTTCGAATCCCAAGCAGGGATGTGCGAGAGGATTGCTGGACTCCTCGCCGTGGTTGGGTGGTTCACGTAACCGCTGGTCGGTTAAGGCTTCCTCCACCACCAAGTCCATGCTTCCGAAAACAAACAATATAGTAAAACTAATCCCATACCCGACTTGGAATGGTAACAGAACGAGAGGCCGTGGTTCGCCATATGGATAAGCCGTCTTATCGGCTTTCCTCTCCCCCGGGAAGAATATGTAAAATGTAAATCCTATCCTATCCTATAGTAAAGTTAGGGAGAATCTTCCTGGGGTCAAGGGTCGGGGAAAAGTCCATACTTGTGTTAATGTGTTACGATCCCGGGGAATTCCGAGCCCGGGATCTCGGAATTTACGGCTTTTTTCAATCCCAATCCCGGATTATTTTGAATGGAATCCGGCGATTTAGCTAACTCTTGAAGGTCGGAGATCACGCACCAAAAACAATGCCATCCGCCGAAAAAATGGCCAAGTTCCAAATGTTTAAATGTAAGCTTACCATACGTACGGTTTAGTGGGGACAGTCCCGCCCGGTAGACTTAAATGCCACGGTCATACAGCATGGCAGTCATAAATATTTGGATATTTAATATTAATACAAAATTGTTTAATACAGTAATATCATAGTTATTATATGATTAATACACGAACTCATAAACACGAACATATCACGTTAGTTGTACTGTGGTTACATCATCAAAATGTGTAAACGAGATAGCGATCAGAGACCGACGACTTATCGATCTCGTGGCGTGTATCCTTCGCTCTGACTCAATAGCGATACCGCGTGTTCCACCACTAATTAATTAACAAGAGATCTATGCTCAAATATATGGACACGTCACAAGATGTCGCTATTTTTCATTCTGACACATAAAAAACGAATCTCTTGAAGTCCACAGAAATTTTTGAAATAAGTAAAAGTAATAGCCTTCTGAAAAAAAAATTAATCTTCATCCACTGAAATTTCGAAGCAATTCGTCTAGTATTCGAAGAGGAAAAGTGATTTTATCATGACGAAGGAGAAGAATAACAAGAACAACAACATAATATTGAAACGATCGTTATGTACACTGACGTGTCCAATAACTCGCTAATTATACGACATAATTCATACAAAATGAATAGGCTTCTGGTCCCAATGATGATGAATGCACATGCAAAATTTGGAGATGATTCAACCTCGCTTTCGTGAGATATCGCGCAACATACGAAAGTGTCTAACAGACGAGCCAGATAGCGACGCCGAGTTATCGATCTGCGGTTTCGATTTCTTTGCTCTGACTCAATAGCGACCGAGTGTCCCATCACTAATTAATTGATAACTCGCTAACTATACGACATAATTCATTTAAAATCAATAGGTTTCTGGTCCGAGATATAATGGATGCACGTGCATTCATCAAGATCGATAAGTAACAAACTAACAAATGCCTATCAACATACTTACCGATCAAGTTCGATAAGCAGGCTCTTACCATTGAATGTGATGCGTCTAATAACGCAAAAGCTGATAGTTTAAACCAATGTGGCTGTCCGGTGGACTTCACTTCTCGCACTCTGTCTAATTGGTAATTAGTAATTGCCTCTGTCATGAAAGTAGTGCGAAATAGAGTTAGATATAGTAGGTCGGGGGAGAACGGACAGGCGGGGTAATGCGGACACATTTTTTCGATTTGATCTCACAGCGACATCATAAGAGCTACGGCCGCGGTTTCATTGCTCGTTTGTTACGTAACTAAGCGTAGTTTCGCTGAAGCGAATACGTCGCCATTGCGCAAATCTCGTCAACATGCTTGCGATTTTCTGACGGGTTCGATTTTGGAGGGGCGAAAAAGTGGGTATTTACTATCATATTGAGTTTCAACGTCAGTTGTGGGACCAAACCACCAACTATAAGGTAATAAACAATTTTATTTCTTTTTTACTTTACGTCATGAGGTTTTAAAGGCGTTTGCATAGTCTGACTGCGCAGATGATTGCTTGTGGGAGCTCGAAATAAACTTCATGACTTCATGACAATTAGGGGGGTGATTTTTTTAAATTTTCATCTTAGGCTCTGTTGTTATGCAATTACAAAATAAAAAGTAGTCAGATTTATACACTATCTGAGTTGTGTTTATTTGGGATATAAGTTGTTTCATTTCAGTCTACCAGTCCAAAACAATATGCTTTCTTGTTTTTAGTGTCCATTTCACCCCAAAAGGGACATTGTCTCAGATTTTGAATTGTTGTTCAGGAATTATGCTTCGTAAATGGAAGAGAAGTAGTAAAAGATGTCAATGGATGGAAAAAACATGAAAAAAGCAATTGAAATGGTACAAAGCGGAGGAAAACTCCCGACTGAAGCACGTACATATTCGGTTCCAAGGGCTACACTTCGCTGTCATGTTTATCGAACACTGAAGCATGCCCCGGGATCACGGAGTCTTGGTTGTCTCCTACCTTGGGCCAGAACGAAAAGGATCTTTTGCAACATATACTCGAATTTGAAATGAGAGGCTTCCCATTAATGGTTAAAGACATTCGAAAGTTGGCTTATGAATTTGCAATGGTGAACAAAATTTCTAATAAATTTTCAGAATCTGCTAAAATGGCTGGAAAAGACTGGTGGAGTGGCGTTCGGGAACGATACGGAAACTTGCCCCTGTCAAACTTTAGTAAACCTCGATTTAGGAGAGCCTAGCAAGTAGCAACATCACTTCCCAACCACCGCTCAACATTACTAGCTCGTCGACAAGTAATAATTTTGTTGCATGTGGTTTGCAGCAAGCTGATAATGGTTCACCTTGTTGCAGTAAAACTATTCAGCAAACATCAGGTCCCATGTTTAGGCAGCAAATCTCTACAGAACAACAGAGTAGCATCTCCAGAGGATAGTTTATTGCATTTGAGTGACACTTCATTTGAAGAGATTCTGCCCTTTTCGAAGGCCCCACCTCGACTAAAACCACCTCGTGAGAAAGCGATCATAACTGGTACAAGAATACTTACCAGTGAAGGATATAGGAAAGAACTAGCAGTTTTAGAAAATAAAAAGGAATCTGGTATTATAACTAAGAAAAAAAGCAAAAGCAGGGTCCAAGAAAATAGAGGCCAGCAGTTTGAATAAACCTCATGTGAGCAAGGTCAAAGTAGGAAGAATTATAAACAGGTAAAAATCTGACAAGGCTGTTAGAAATAGTGATGTTTGTGGGTTTTGTGAAGACAATTTTTACGATGATGAGGGGTGGATACAATGTCAGCAATGCCTCAGATGGTTTCATGACATTTGTGCTGGTGTTTATGGAAGAAACGTTCAAGCTTTCACATGTGAGGAATGCCAGTAATAATTTACATATAAATAACTTGCCTGTTTCATTAGGTTAATTTCGTTATGTTATTTATGGTAAAGTACATTCAGTTGATCAACTAAGGTTTGTGCATGCATTAGCAAAGCTTTTGTTCGGTTGCAAGTACATGCCTGGATGATTAATAAGTTTTCATGTCTGGTGGGGTAATATGAGCATCATTGCTTGCCTCCACTGTTTTTCTCGAGGCTTGTTATTTATGATTTTTTAGGCGTTTTATACGCATTCAAATAGTTTAGTAGTGTCTTCAATTAATTTTGTTCAATGTTTGTTTTACCCATCCATGTGTCCGTTTTACCCGAACAAATTTTTTGGGGAAAAATGCTCATATCTATCAAAATATTAGTCGGATTGCCGAAAGCGACAGTGGGCTGTAGGGCACATTCAAATTGGTTATTTTAATACGGGAGTCACGCTTCTATATGGTAAAGATTACGAGAAATTGAGATTTTGCTATAGTGGTGTCCGTATTTGACGGGCCTACTATATTACATGGACTAAAGTTTCGCTTAAATACGGATCAACGAGCCCTGTCTTTCATTTTCCAAAAAAATCATTATTGTGGAAACTGGAAGTTGATACAATTTTCTGTTGTTCATCTAAACTTCGTATCTTTGGTATACAGGGTTGAATCTAATCTTGGATAGAATCCTTTTTATCAAATCGTCTTTCCGGTACGTGTCAGATTTGCTTATTCTAACAGTTACGAATAGAAAAATTGTATTGTACAGCAAGGCGAGATGAGTTCATTATAATTAAGATTAAAATACGAGAATGTCGTTCGGAGACCGAAGACTTATCGATCGAAACTGCGGTTTCGATTCATGACTCTATAGTGACACCGCGTGTCCCATCATTAAATAATTAATACCTCGCTAATTATATGGTATAATTCATTCAAAATTAATAGGCTTCTGGTCCGAGATATGATGAATGCACATGCAAAATTTGGAGCAGATTCAACCACGCCTTCGTGAGATATCGCGTGCATCTAACAGACAGACAGACAAAAAGTTGGACAAACAGACAGACAGACACATACCTATAAACATACTTACCGATCTAAAGATTGATAAGTAACAATGTGCACGTTTTCCAATGATTTGAAAATTACTATGAGTCGGAATTGAACCAAGGTTTGTCCAAACCTCACTGTCCCATTTTATTGTTTCATATAAATGGTAAGCCCATTCAAATGTCCATAAAACGCATTACACATGTTGCACAAACCCCTTACGGCTTACATACATAAATTCATAGCCTACGAGAATCCCTCTACAGATAGACAACGATAGTTGTGGACTGTCTTCGATTTCAAACGCAACGTTATTTTGGAAAAAAGCCTCGTATAATGATCAAGATATCGATAAGTTTGGATGCATTGTGAGTCGTAATAAAATTGCTGGCTTGGCGATAAATATATCTCAAAGATTGTTCGGTACTGAAGAATCCAATGGAGAAACACTTAAAAATGCTGAATATTTGATCCAAAAAATAGCAGCCTCGACGATAACACTCAAATGACATTGGCACAAGAACTTCATGCTTCCGTTGCACGTGATGAAAACGAATAGGGACAAAGGTGTCCTTTTTATTCTCTTGGGAACAATAATAAAACCAACCCCAGTTGAGGGTGAGAGTGCATTTTCGGCTCTTGGATTTTTTACCAGCCATATGTGAAATTGTCTTAATGATGACACTCTCGATGCTCTCATTGTTTTTGCGTCAGTTTTATAAGAAATAAACATGACGGCTTATTACCGCGTTTCCCCGAAAATAAGACTGGGGGGTGGGGCTCATATTAAAATCATTTTTAAAAATTCAGGCTAGGTCTTAGTTTCGGGGAAACACGGTATATTTTTGTATGTTTCCTAATCCTATTAATCCCGGGATTAGATGTTGAAAATTCCGAGCCCGGGATTTCAGATCTAATACCGAAATAAAAGCCCTAGTCCATACGCGCAGGTGCAGTTAAAATAAAATACAAGCAGATGGTAGGTAAGTTTATTTCGATTAACCGTTACAACAAAATGAAGAAACAATACAGGGCAAAACAAGCAAATAGACCTATACGAAAAATAAGGACAGTGGCCAAAATCAATAAGATTTGAGGCGTGCTGATACACGTGCACCCAAAACAGTAAATATACTCGGCATGGAGTAGTAACCAGATGAGAACCCGGGGTTCGTGGTTCACATGATCAAGCGCTGGCTTTCTCTCTCTCCAGAGATGAATATGTAAATTATGATCCTCGTAACAAGATTGATGATTCGGAGCCACGTAAAAAATATAAAGTAGGATTGGTAACGTAACAGACAAAAATATGCATTGCGACAAAATAGCAGCATGCCACATAGCGACAACTAGATATGTATATAAAGCCATATGATGATGTGCATACGCAGCCAATGTCATATGCAGCCAATCAGATATACATATACGACCATTCAAGTATAATGTACGCACATAACGCCATATGTATGTACAGTCAACCCAAATATAGGTATAAAGACATTTCAGTAATTTACATACAGATAGGCCTACTTCAACTTTCATCGAGAGAAATTTTATGTTTATAGATTCAGCTTTTTAGGTCTACATCCACTTCATATTTCGCCAGGAAAAATTTGATGCAATTTTTTTTTCAGGGTTCATTTCATGTTTTCTTTTAGTAACTTTCAACAATCTTTCGACGGACGAAATTTAATTCACTTCTTCAACTACTCCTCATTCCGTCTGCAAGTCTTAAGTGATTTCAACCACCCCATTCGGTAGAGAGTATTTCACTCACTTTTTCCTTTTCAGGTTCAGCCTTTTAGTGACTTCAATAACCCACCTCCCTTTTAAACGAATTTCATCCACTTTTTCTTTTTAGGCTCAGCCTTTTAGTGACTTCAAATACCTCTCTTTCCGTCGGTCGAAATTTCATCAACTTCGTCATTTTATTATATAATCAACCACCCACCTTCCTTCGGTAGAGATTTCATTCACTTCCTTTTCGGGTACAGTCTTAAAATGACTTCAGCCACCCCATTTTCCACCGGAAAAATTCCATCCACTTTCTTATAGTGTTTTTTTGTTTTAGTTTTGACATATTTATTACAAAAAATAAAATATTAAAGTCATTTTAAACAAAACAGGCAAAAAAAAACGTGATACAAAACAATTGCTCTAAAACAATTCAAACAAATATTACGACCTCCAAGCGCAATACACACCCAAGTAATCCAAATTTTCATGTACTTGCCTTTATACGTGAACGTTACTTTTGTTTTGTTCTGAATGCGGGAAAACTAATTATTAGTAATACCATAGATCCGTAAAAAGCACATCAACAAACCTGTGATATGACAAAGTAGCAGCGACGCACTCAAGCAAGGTCAATTGTCTCAAAACAAGCGGATACGGGGGGTTGCGAAACTAATACGATGGAAATGGCGGTATTAGACACGTATTGGGGCGAAGCTAATACGATGGGAATGGAGGTATTAGACACGTATTGGGCCTATATTTAGACTTACCATAATTTCTTGGGCATAATCCGGGACAAACTCAAAACTATGAATGAAATAGCTGGACAAAAGGCCGAAGGCCTGAGCTTGGCAAATTTTATTCCATATTTATTTATAGCTTTAATATTGCATAATAAAGTATTCTACTTAGATTGAATAAGAATTTTTATTACTTTATTTAAAGGAAAATACATGTTAATTTAAGCAACACTAAGTCACAAATCAGACATTTATATGAAAGAATGAACAAACACTGAGAACAAAGAAATAACACCAATTCACAAATCAAACATTTATACGGGGATGCATTCAGAAACCATTGGCTTTTGTGTTTGACCTTTTGTATTTTTCACTTGAATGAACTTTCCTCAGAAATTGTTTATTATTTCTTATTTTTGTGAAAAATTCGCAACAGCTCAAGCCAATATTGAGTATGCAAATCAATATACCCGCTACTGTTGACTTCTTCATCGTATTCTTTTCATCTGTCCAAATAGTCTTCATCATAGAAAAAGCTCTTTCAGCAAAAGCCGAAGTGCCTGGTAGATAAAATATATATTTCATTACTTTTCTAAGATTAGCCACAGATATATTTTGATTTTAAAAAAGGACGGAAAACCTTGACCCATTTTTCTTCACAATGTTTTTCTTTCCATTCAGCTCAGCAGATCTGGAGCAACTTGATACAACTCTGCTACAGTTAAAACATAGATATTTCGCTTCTAATAATTACTAATTAACAGCAACTGCTGAACTCTCTCTAAATTACTACCTGTTCGGAACTATTTTTTGCAGTATACCCTAATCAATGTAGCCTTTCTAAACCACTTTAATTAGTGCTTATATGTAAAAAGAATCTATTCGCCGTACTGTTAGCCTACTAAATTACTCTACAGAATCTCAAGTTCTATATTACTTCCAGCAAATATGAATCAAACAAAACCAAATGAAAGTTATTATGCCTTCTCCAACTCCAAGCATACCTGAAATGGATTCTAATGCAGCAATTGCTGTAGTTACATTGACGTCAATAGAATAATGACGCAAACGTCACTCATTATTCCCTAACTAGAGGATATTTCAAGCTATGCGCGATATTTTACTCAACATAATAAGCTAAAATAAATTAAGATAATAAAATAAGCCTTGAGTTAAAGTAAAGTTATGCCTCTTGGGACAGAATTATTTCATAATTTTGCGTCAGGTCAGAGTAAATTTTGAAAATTTCACTGAAGTAAAATTCCGGGACATTTCGCTAACCGGGACGTGACACCGGGACAGACGTTTAAACCGGGGCTGTCCCGGCCAAACCGGGACGTATGGTAGGTCTACCTATAGATCGTTTCAATATTATTTTGTTAGAATTCTTTGTCATGTTCTTGTTGTCATGAAAATTTCTCTTCAACTACTAGACCAATTGCTTCGAAATTTCCAATGGTTAAAGATTATATTTTTTGCTAGGAGGCTATCGCTTTTATATATATATATATATTTCTAAATTTTAAATGAAATCCATGAGATTTGATATTTCATCCAAAATTTCACTGATTATTTTTTATTCGCGGGATACATGCTGTAATCCGGCAAAATCTTTCTATGCGACAGTCGGAAATTTTCAGTACTGTACTGGTACTAGTAAGTTACGATGGTCTACTCTAGACTTTCAGCTTTGTCCAGGATATGAGTTTGGGGAAATTGTGGGTAAAATATTTCGTTTTGGCTTTCGTGTCCATATATTTGAGCATTGCTCTCTTGGTATTGATTAAGTTTATTGTTATTATTTTAATTTTTTTTCCACTGTAGCCTTTCCAACAGGACAAACCACTGTCTGGCATTCTTAGCCTAGCCCACTGTGAAATATTCATAACGTTGGCGAGTAGATGTGACCTTTCTAATCTTGACATGGAGTTGTGTGAAGCTTATGAGGAACAATGGACCTGGTTTCAGTGAGACATGCTCCAATGGGCATAACTTGACAGCGTTTCACCCATTGATTGAAATTATTCGTAACAGCATAATCCCAAAGTAAAACAATGAATTTATTTCAAATTTAATAAAAAGAATTGAAAATATTTGACAACTAATTCTACAATAGCATTGCTTTAGATAGGTATGTTGCCAAAGTGGTTTTATGTTGTCAATGCGGAAATTTTGTATTAATAATTTATTGGAAAAGATCTGAAATATTTTGGCTTTCGAAAATACTAAATCTCCAAAATCGGAGTCTCACAGTTTTTTTAGATACTGATTTGTTGCTAATTTTAACGGGATATTTCGTCATAGATTGCCCCATTGTGCACAAGGGGAGTGTCCGAATGTGCCCCACCCGCGATTTGAATCCGGTGTATATTAAAGATAGAAAATTTGTTATTAACGTTGGTTTGAAATACAGTGTTTTTTCCACCATGTTATGAGACTGCTCCGATGAGGTTTTTCTCCAAGTATCCCAAAGATAAAAATACCACAAAACAAGTCATTTGATACGGCATGTTAATCTCCAAGCACCTCAGACATGCATCAAGGTTTGATGTACAAATGGAACAAGATTTGTATATAAAAAAAATCCTAAAACGGAAAAAAAAAGTTAAATTACGTTTTAAGGCATTGACAGATGTATTTTTCTTTTTTTAATATGTTCAGCGTTTCTCGCTAATATTGGAATTTGGAAATGACTTTGACATGAGAACGGATGCAAGGGCGGATGCAACCCTTTCGTGAATAGCACCTACGGCTCTATTCTTGTTGCTATGATCCGAATTCCCTTCAAATAAATCTACTTTGCCAGAGGATATGCTTCCCCTGTTTGGTCTTGGTTTTCGTTTTTCTAAACTGCCGTACACCATATCTCGAACCATAGTGTTCATTTTGGTTTCTAATGCTGGATCTATGTCGGAAAGACTGCTAGTAGTCAAACGATGTTGCAGATGGCGCCTATTTAGAGATGAGTTCCCGTTAGATTTAATCACTTCCCTTGCCAGCTGTGATGACTGCTGCGGTCCTGAATATCGTGTGACAAACTGGTCCATTCTTGAGGTATTTCCAAAACTTCTTTCAAAGAAGTGCTTTTCACGCAAACGAGGTATAGACGGGCCGTTGGGTGAATTTGCAGACGAATGTTTTTTCCGTCCTTCAATGCGTTTCCTTGTAGGTATATCACCTGTACAAATTAATTTTTTAAATACTCATACGTCTCATGATTTACAGTAGCCTACATAGAGTGATAGATCACCCTGTTCATATGACCGTGTTTAGGATGACGTCATAAATAATGCACATTTCCACGCCACATTTTCATCACCATCACCTGAATACAGTATTGTTCGGAATTCTAAATAGTGCTCCTAGTATTATTTCACGGAAAAAAATTATATATTTTTAATTACCTGCTGTTTGATGTGATAGTTGATACCTTGATCCATGGTAGTACGAGTTATTAGGTTCATGCCAATACGTCGGTTTATTATTCTGTCGGCGTACCGTGGGGAGGTTGGACACCATCTGCATATTAATAATTGAATCGGTTTTCATAAGTTAGCGAAATTCTCGAGGTGTGCGTTTGGTAAATCCAAGCTCAATTACTTTATAAATAATAAATATATATAAAAGTAAGCTAAAACTTCCCTTTACACACAAGTTTATCCTTATTAGGTGGTATAGGCTAGAAATTTCAAGCTTACTTGTAGACATAAAAAAAATCGATCGTTGCAGATTTTTCGGATAAGTAAAACTCATTTATGAGATTCCTAAATAAAATTTATGTTAGTTAATCAGAACCATTTTTTTGAAATAATAGTTTCTGAATCCCACAAATAAAATATAGTAACACTAACGTGACTAACTGTACGTAAACCGATCATACATTTTGCCATGAAAATAATTCTTTTCCAAAATGATTCCGATATTATTTCTTGCGTTCCACATTTTACAATGGAATACCAACGAAGGGGAAAACCAATTACGAAAGAACAAAGACGTTTTGGGAACACAAAATCGTGTTTTTAAAAACACTTATTCATAATTTTACTGACATTTTATTCTTACCTGATCATCTCCTCTCCAAATCCTTGAAGAATGTGGTAACTGCGCATACAACTCGTCATCGGAGCTGGAAACGCTCGTAGTGTCACTGTCCGAGACGGATGGATGGTAATATATACCAGAAGTGTTTCTTGAATTATGTCTTTCACGACGACCGAGTTCGCCAATTCGAATATGTCTTTCTTCTGACAAATCTGCATCCGTATAAGGATCAAATCCGTACGTAGATGGTGGCGTTAATTTGCGTCTCGATTTTTTTATTCTTGAACGGCTCGGAACGTACCGTCCATATCTGTCGTACGCAGAATCTGCAGGATCATATTTTGTACGCCCAATAGGGGAAGACAGTGAAAAATTATTTAACTGACTGCTCCAAAACATTGGTTTATATTGTCGCCTTTTTGTATATCGTCGCCTTTCTTCGCGTGCGGATGGTGTAACCGAATTTTGTAAAGCTTTTCTAAAGTTCATGTCGTTACGCACTCTAAGTTTTCGATATTCCGCATCATATCGAGAAGAAGACAGTCCAAAGTCTCGTTGACCAAAGCCCGTGAACGAACTGCTTTTCAAACCCTTTGCCTTCAACCTAGTAAGAACGCCTTTATTTTTTTCATACTCATCATTGTTTTCCCACGGAGGAGAATAGCCGTCTTCTTCTTCACTTGCGTGAACACTCGACGTGGTGATACTTTCTGATGACACGCTTGAAGACGAACTCGCTTTTTGACTTTCCGAATCGTTCTTACTGGTTCTACGACTTGGCTTTTTTGATGAACTATCTTCTTCTGTGCTATCATCATTCTTTCTGTATTTTCGTGGTAACGTTGGTAGTACTTTTATACTCGATGCAGCACCCATTAAATATGATGGCTCAATACCTGCACTTGTTGTCAAATCCAGTTTTCCATGTTCCGATTTGACGTTAGTAGAACGGTCACTGCTCTGTCGATCAACCCCAATGATACTGTTCCGTTGAACAATACGTTCTGACAACGGAATAATAATTCAATCAATCAGTGAACTGCATCCTTTCAGAGGGGAGGTTGTACGTAAATAAATAATAAGAATCACGTAACAAAGTATAGGACATGTGACTGATCGATTTTATTTACTAATAAAAATATTACACACATAAAGAACTTTTCATTTGATGCAGAAATTGGATAAATTTTAATAGAAAAAAATATCTTCAAACCTTTATTAAAACTGAAATTTGCTTCAGCTGTTTGCGGAGTCATATTTTAAACACCTAAATATTTTATGAGAAATTCGATTGAATGCGTTAACAACACCCCAGGTCTAGGAAATACATGCCTGTGCTAGAAGGAAAACTACGTTGTTATATTGCAATCCTCTATTTGCTGTGAAGATAATTGTACTCATAATAAAAAAACAGCTGATCATGTATACTTCAAGTGGTTGCTTTTACATGGCCAAAGCGATGACAAATCACAGTATATAAAAACAATTCCCATTGTTTCAATAAAATCCTACCTGTATAATTAATCGGTATCGGTATGTCTGTGGAAACCATTATATCCTGATCTGGTTCTTCTTCTAAGGGAATACTTCGATTTCGGAAACTGAAACATAGCAAGTATCGAAATAAATTCAATAGCTTACAAGTTAAAAATTAAAATGGGATACGATTTTATATTTAACTCGGACAATGCATCAGGTGGTAAATTTCAGCTCTCCGTCCGGTGATTTCATTCCCGATGATCCGAGATTCCGAGTACTAAAATATTATTATTTTACTTTTATTCTTTTTTAGCGACTCGGACGGAGTTAACCGTAAAAAACTAACTAAATTGACAAGTACATAGCCTACATGGGGGATTGTTCTTCTTCCTTTTCTTCAGTTTCGTCGTCAGATATGAGGATTTCGAGATCACGCAACCAATTCATAATCACTTTTGGTCTTGGTTTAGGATACTGTAATATGAATATGAAGTTTTTTTTCAATATATATAGTAAAATGACTGTTCAATCTAGTGACTGACTGTTGTATTGAGAATCAAGACTGCTATGAGCATTATTACATATTTGTAATTATTGTTGCAAATGTAGTTTAAGTATTACCTTTGAATTTGTCCATCTGTTATCAATCGAGTGCGACGGAGACACTGAAGAACTATGATCTGGAGTGAATATACATTAGAATGAATAAATCATACATCTGATATGAAGTTTCGTGTTTCAGTTGATATTACAGTCATACGTTTGCGTAATACGATGAGCATTTATAAATCGTAATATAAAAAATATTTCTCGTAGTTTTATACAACTAATCAAAGATATTTTGATTTATTTAATTTTGTATTTGTTTCGAAACATGAAGATGAAAATCACACGACCCACTCTCAATCAATCATTTTAACATCTCACCGTCTGTTATTTTAATCGTTGACTTACCGTGATATATTCTCAAGTGCGTATCATCGTCATGATTTAAACTGAAAACACAAAACAAATAAAAAACAGTAAGATATTTCATATTTACGGTTTGAAAATATCCAACCAGTTTACAGAAGAAGTCGAGTATTACATTGGTCGACAAGGGAAGCCAAAACGCAAACTCAAATAACGCATTGTCAACATTATGTTTTGGTAACTGATGCCTCATAAAATTGAATTTACTAATCTCCACTAAATTTCTTTTTCACTTCTGGTCTGAATATGAAATGGACCTGAAATTTGGCTTAGGTGCCGTGAGTCTAATAGAAATAATTATTTCATGGTTTGATACAGAGCAGTTGGTAGAAAATAATATTTTTAGTTTGACTGTTCCGTATATAAATTTTGAAAATTATTCTTCCTTACTTTGTCATCGCTTCTATTCTTTGCTGATCCTTCAGCCAATTGAGATGATCTTTCTCTCCGTTAAAAGACAACTTCACCCAGTTATTTTCCGATGGAGCAGCTGAGCCTCTTCTAGATGCCTGGTAAGACTGAATCATTTCACTTGTCGTGGGAAGAATAACTGCATCTCTTCTGTGGGCATTCGATTCCAGAAGAGCGCTGACCTTGAAACATGTGCAATTTTGCTTTTCGACAAGTATACTTAGCATAATATATATATGTATATTGATTCAGTGCGAAATCGAAGGATGGTACGGGAGGGGTCGAACTTATTTTTAACATATTACTTGGAAAAATTGAATTATTATTCGATTGTGGCGGCACTTAGTTGAAATCAAGATTTTTCAAGTTACTAAGTTCTGCTAAGCAGTGACTGTTCGACAATTAATGTCAAAAACACTGCTTGTTGGATAATTCTACCATGCAATAAGTGCGACTTTGATTTTTGTTCAAAGTTGATACAATGACTCGACTTGGTCACATGCCTCAGCTTGACTTTAGTCAATGTTGGAAATTTTTAAAAGAATTCAGTCAGCTTGGATTCTATTCTCAGTATTATAGGTAAGTGAATTTTATGATAGTTCTTCCGCAGTGCTGTGCCCAATTGCATTGTCTCTGGTCTAATGACTTGTATCGAAAAATGGCATGCGACTAAGCTTTGAGTTGCTATTTTAAATTAATGGACTTGGATCAACTTTTAGCATAGTTAACTAAAGGCAATTGCGTTTTATGATTAACTGATCACAGTAATTGATAACTTGTTACCAACTTACCGTATTTTCAATAGTCTACAACGAATCAATGACCATACTATTGTATATTAATTTTGGTAATGTTAGTTTTTCATATTTATAAATCAACTTACCTTCCGTCCGAGATCTTCTTCTGCCCATTTAGAAGCAGCATTCTGATTTTTCCACTGTTTTTTCTTTCTATATTGAGCACTATTTTGATTACGACTTGCCGTGTGCCCCATTGAATGCTTTGCTAAGTGTAATCTCTGCTTTCCACTTATAAGATTTATACGAGGCTACGTTATCTAGACGCGTTGAACGCAGATTGGAAAAACAAACTTTGAAACGTTCGATGAATTATTCATCCTGGCTGCAGCCTTAGGAACCAATACGTGTTCTCGAAACAAAAACATGCTAAATTTCGAAACATATTTCTGTCTTTGAGGCGTAACCAATTTGACTAGTTATATAAACTTCAAAAAGAAAACAACCCTATGAAATATGAGTAATATGATAGGTGACACAATTACAGGTCCACATTAATTTTGCATGAGTTTAACCTCGCTGTCATCAGGTGATTAAAATAGTCAAAGTCTCACGGTTCCTGTCCATTGACAGGAGTTGGAAACGTACTAATTGTTAGAGATATTAGAATGCACAACATAGCAGCGCATCCTGTATTTTTACATATTCGCTTTGAACAACGCTTTTGAGAATCAGACACTTCCATGGCAAAATTTATTGGATTTGAAAGTATGCGAATTTTGGGCGTATGTTGTCCCTCTTTTTCGTGTTACCTTATGAAAATAAATCGCTTTTCTTATTCACTAATGTAACAATTGCTACGCAAAAATTTGTTTTGAATTTCGTGTCCATCCGTACAGGAGAAGCTGACCATGGAGGAGTCCAGACCATATATATAGCATTAATTGTTGCTGCGTGAGCGGCCATTTTCTTTTGTCCGGTTACGTCGGGGCTAGTCAAAACTTCACTGCATGGAACAATATGAAACGTCCAACTTGCGCCATGTGCCTCACCCAGCACCCAGTTGTAGAAAAGCAAATAATTATCAGAAAAGCCAAAAAAGAATATGGTATTCCGCTTGTGACCGTCATTAGATATGTTAAAAAGTACGAGGTGAATTCTGATGGTGAACACGCGGGTGCAGAAAAAATGCGATGATCAATGCTGAATTGACCTCAGATGGGGAATTATGTTTATGTCTATTCACGACACCTCTGGCGACAGCAAGGAAGACACGGGGAAAAGGTGAAATCATTCGAGGAGGGTGATTTTGTTGTAGTCCGATTTCGATTGATCACGCACTATGTTGGGAAAACTTTGGAAGTTTCTGGTACGAGCGACGCAGAAACCATAAAGATGAAAACAAGATTTTTGAGACGAGTAGATATGAGAAAAACCAATGCCAAACCCATGTGAAGAAAAGGACTTTTTGCATCGAAAAGATGAAGTAGAAATGAATCTCCCTGCGCATAGGTGGAACTACCAGGTGTGCTGAAAAAGCATTATATATATTCGTTCATTCGAGATCCAATTTTAAGCAAACGCAATACGGAACGTTACAGGTTACCGTTAGGCGGGGCAAGTACGTAGGGCGCGAAAATTGTTGTGATGCGTTATATGACTGCGGTATTCGCAGAAATATTTACCAAAAAAGTAGTCAGCTGTTTCATCTATCACTAAGGACGCCAAGTATGAATATTACAAGTATTCGATTCCTAAACTTCCGACTCTTCATTCCTCGACACACCTAAGCAATACCATATGAAATTGAACATTTTTCAACTTCAATTTCAAACATTTGAGTGTTTGTATTTTCTTGTCATATATTTCGCCGCCGTGTGCAGTGCAGGTTCCCAAAAGGTGCGCCGTGACGAGTTGCTAGGCGCACCGCGAAAATTACCATAATTGTGATGAACATAATTGAAATATAATTGAATATTCTACGAATTGTATTTATTTTAAATGTTTAATTGTTTCTTCTTCCAAATGCTGTGTATATGAATCAATAAATTAATTTCACCTTTCTATGTCGTTTATTTTTTGTCTGCCGCTGTTGTTACGTAACAATATGGGTAACCACTTTTTGCTGGAATTAGGTGATCTGCAGTCCATTTATCTGCTGAGTTTAGCGAACACGAGTGATTTTTTTAGCATTTGATATTGCATAGGCCCACATGTGTACAAACTCTTAAAGGCACAAAGTACGCACTAACGATCACAAAATTGAGTTTTGTTTGAAAGCAGCATTTTTTTCGTGTAAGTGCGCCGTAAGTTTTTCTTCCTGGTAATATAGCGCCGCTAGAACAAAAAGTTTGGGAACCGCTGATTTAGTTCCAATAGTACACCCCTTTTTTAATTGTGCACAAGCGAACTGGATTAATATTTTTACCTGTTGTGTGGTGTCGTTTAATTCATGTTATTACCATTCGCATCACGTATTCGACGTGTAGGGTTATCGAAATTGTCCGTGTCGTGGGCTGTTTTTACGTATCGTTGAACTGTTGTATTTTAATTTCATTTACTTTACCCGAATTAAAAAACGTCAGAGAGTTTTGTCTTTGCGGGTTTTGTAGCAATCAGCGATAGAACTGTCGATTTCAATAGCCTGGGTCAAAACCGCTGTTTTTCGCCACTTCATAAAGTGGCCGGCTGCTACTGATTTTTCGTTAATTGTTGAATTTGTGACATCTAAATATAAGAAGCTGATTTTATGACTGTCCTATTGTATATGAAGTTGACAGTTGGGGCCAGGAGTGGCGCAATCAATATGTTTTCCAATATGTTCCGTCTATGGAGACTGGGCTATTAGACGTGACACACGTCTAATCAATGATCAGTTACAACAGCAAAACCTTATCAAATTTCAATCGAATGTCTTTTAGGATAGGATAGGATTTACATATTTATCCCGGTGGAGAGGAAAGCCGATAAGACGGCTTATCCATATGGCGAACCACGGCCTCTCGTCCGGTTACCATTCGAAGTCGGGTATGGGATTAGTTTTTTACTGTATTGTTTGTTTTCGGAAGCATGGACTTGGTGGTGGAGGAAGCCGTAACCGACCAGCGGTTACGTGAACCACCCAACGACGGCGAGGAGTCCAGCAATCCTCTCGCACATAACCAACCCTTCATGGGATTCGAACCTGCGAACCCACGCAGAGTAATTAGAGGTGCGGTGGCGAGCGTATTCCTAACGCTTAGCCCGTTGAGCCACACCGCCGCGCCGCTTTTTTTTACATCCAGAGGTGCACAGGTTAGATCAGCACAAACTTTAATAGTTTCTTGCACTTCCATAAATAGACATTGCTGCATGCTACATTAAACATAGATAAATCCATGCAATCTAAATATGAAACAGAGCAATGCTGCTCCTGGACACGGAAATCAAAACGAGGCAGTATGGTATGCAATCTTTCATCGTAGACTACCGGTACCGCAGTCGTTACGACTTCGCATGACCATAATTATTCAGTACAAATATGGCATGACACATGTTGCCCCCTTTAGTTGTATACTATAAATGAAATGTTTTAATACACCATTCAACTTACCATGACCATCAGAAAGCAGCGAACGCGAAGGCGGCACCGTCACAGGGTGCGCAATTTTTAATTACGATGACGTCATTGCACACAAACAGTCCTGTAGTGTAGACTTAGAGCGCACAGAAAATAAATGAATAAAAGTTATATGGCCTTCTGGCAAAAAATACAATTTTTAACCACTGAAAATTTCAAATTGGTCCTGTAGTTGATGAGAAAAGTGACGTCATCCCATAAAACTCACAGAAATATTTGAAATAAATAAAAGTAATAACCTTCTAGCGGATCTTCAACCACTGAAAATTTCAAAGCAAGTGGTACAGTAAATAGAGAGAAAGCGATTTCTTCATAACAATAGGAAGAAAAATTCTAACATAAACAACAAGTACAACAACATAATAATAACAAAACGATCCAAGTGTACATTTCGTGTTCAATAACGAAACGATTCATAGGTACATTTCGTATGTTCAAATATGCATTTTGCGAACAAGAGTGGCAGAATAACTTTTTGAAAAATATGAAAATTTTATAGAGTAAATTTTTGCATATAAGCAGTTAGATCCTTATGTGACTCAAAATGCGAAAGATTAGACATTACAATATAATTTCAACGATAGAATTCAAGTCAATGATGAGCAGAGAATGTGCTCCAACAGCGGCCCCATGTCACCAATGTAACAACAACTTTGGAACGTTGCACAGGCGCATCAAATATAAATAACTCAAAATATTTCTTTCACAAAAGAATAGCTCATTCTCATTGACGTAATGTTGCTTTGCTTTGTATATTATTGTATTAAAAAGGACTCTGCTGTTAAGTATACAGATGTCGTACGAGTTTACCAGTTAGCTCCCATTCCCCTAAATCGGAGAGTAGCTGGTCGGAATCGACAACCATACTTCTCTTACATGGTTTCATTACATTTTAGAGTTCTAGTAGCAGCCCTAAATAGACAGCCCTCTTCCTAAAAATTTGTATATAAATAAAGATTTTTGTTGTTTGCCTGATGTTTTGTGTGTTTTAATTTTGTATGTACATGAATAGTGATTCTTTCATTATATTTTATTGGTATTTTTATTAAATTCACATTGCAGCACTAATTACAAAAATGAAAGACAATTCCACTTGAAAAGAATTTGAAAATGACATTTTGCTTTATACATGAACGGGCAGTGAAATTAGTAATGGCATAATTTTTCATACAGTGACAGCTAATTTCTACCCAACTTTGTTGAACAGATTTTATTTTCTCTAAGGAAGCATTATTTTGACAGAATGAAGCTAAACATACATTTATGAAATATTTTTCACTTTTAAATACGATCGTTCACCATTAAATGAATTCACTGAAAAATATACAGAATACCATTATGTTGACTCACTTCAAGTGCACCTCCAATAGTCGTGACGTCATAGTGGGAGGAAAATCCAAAAGTGGGGGATTTGTGATCTGGGGGCTGTGTGGTTTAGTATGGTGAAGCATTCCACGTGATTCGATTCGCCAAAATTTTGTGAATTGATTCTGAATCAACGGTTGTCTTTGTTGTGTGTATTCCAGTATTCCGGCTCGATAGATCTGCTAAGTCTTTCTGTAGTACGTTAGATACCTATCAGGAATTTGAAGGTGCCTGCATACGTCCCGCCTTTCATTTGTCATGACCGATATGGACAGAGTTGATTTCAGGTAGAGTTGTTGTTCATTGTGACGTTAGTCGTTTCATGGTTTAATTGGCTGACGTCTGGAGGCGATACAATACTGCAATAGTTTAATCTATCGCTTGTTAAAGAATTGAGATGCGGTGGCTTGCCGATATTTCTCAGTTCATATTCAGATATTACAGATTTCTACAGTTATTATACTGGCATACAAAATTTTTTTTTAATTATTGTTGATTAGATAACTATTAGTCAACATTGTCGTAAAATTTTTAAATGATTTGGATGTGAAATTTATGATTTAAAAAATTGCAAAGTTAAAATATGATTTCACATATTTACAGATCGGGGTGTGATATGAAGTCATTGGAAAATCTTGTGAATGTATTTGATGAATATGACCGACATGAATTTGATGATTGTATGGCAATGGAAGTACATTCAATGAAAGAACACATTTTCAATATATTAGGTATGTTTATATTGTATAATGGTTGCTGTCGATGCTACCAAGTGTACTTTAAATTACTATTTAGTTTGTGAAGGAGAAGGTTTGATAAATTATAATTTCCTGAGTAGGGAACAGATCCCCGATTCCAAGATATCCCGACATTTGGTTCAATAAAACAAACTTTATTTGTCTCTGAAACAGGGGGCATCTTGAACAATGGCAGATGCGCCAGATTGTGCCATGCTTGCCTCGATAATAATTTAAATCAATCACAACGTGCGTCGGCCACATGACCAAAATTGCGTTTATTTGCGAAAAGCTCTGGAACAGTAAAAAACTACAGTAAAATTTAAATCGGATTATTTTTTTTCAATTCAATGGTTAAATTGCACTTCTTTTTAGTTTATTGCGAATTTGATTTGTGGCACTATGGATGCCCAAACTGTCTCGCAAAGAAGGGGTTTGCACTCTGTGTCATAATTGATGTCTTTCAATGTGGGGGCTATTCTTAGAATCTGAGAACTGTGTCGTACTGAACCTAATGAAATGCAGCAAATTTTGCTGATGAACAAGTCTCTGTTGATATGAAAAACATTTTGAAGTTCCATTCTCCACTTGTTATACATATTATGTTTTTTAATGCTTCAGGTGATGTGCAGAAGGCTGATGGGAAACTTCCAGTGGCAAACGAATATCTACTTCTATCAGGGGGTAGTAGAGATGGTACATTAGATGTCGAAGTAGATGGTCAGTGTGAATACACCAGGTAAATAAATTGATTGCTGTTTGAAAGTTGCTTCTTCCTCAGGCAAAGCTCCCGTTAAAACACACTGCTACATTGGGAATGAATGGTCAAAACCCAGGAGTTGCATGACCGGGTTCAGCTATCGTTTACTCAAAGTTTTTTATGCTATCCACATCTGAAATAATAGCTCAATAATATAAAATATGGCAGCCACCAGTAGATTAATTTTTGACGGTGTTACAGGATGATGACAATTTGAACTCTGCTTCTCTAACTGAGAAAAAAAAAGCTAGGGCTGCATTAAAGCATGTATATTATCCGGCGTTTGTAATGAGTTTGAAATCCGGTTTTGTGATAGGCATATGTAAAATCAAAGGACAAATTGGTATCATTTGCCATGCCATTTTCATTTGATGTCAATACTGTGCCAGATGAATTGCAAATGAATATGTTGAAGCCCAATTATATTTTAGTTCCGATTCCGATCAACTTTTATAAAAAAAAATATGCCCAGAAATCCATCTATCCTCATCTGTATGGCAATGCAAAATGTATAATGTGCATCGTGCATGTAATGTCAAATTTTAACTTCGTACTCGCTTGTCAAATTGCTATTTCAGCAGCATACTGCAGATATCATCAACAAAGTTGCCAGTTAATTTTAATGTTCTGTTCATCGTCCCAAAACAGCATCCTTCAAATTGATGATAAGAAAATAAAAACGATGTATTGTATTTGATAATAAATAGGAAACGGCCACATGCATGCCCTCATTATGACAGCGTTTAATACAGGAATAGAAGTCGCGAGTGCTCTATTATTTGAGGTTCTATGTGGCGATTACGGTAAGTGGGTAAAGTTTGGTGACCACTGGGCTAGACCTTTGGGTTTATTGAATCCCTACAAAATGATACTTTGATTTACGTTTATTTAAGTTTAAATTAAGGAAATATTCAAATTCTTACAAGTGTTGTTTTTTTTTATTTATAGGGGGAATGACTTTGATCTTGATTATACTTTACTTGTTCCTATACTTAAACTTCATGATAGAAATCAACCAGTTGTTCTTGATATGCGGCATTCTACACCGTGCCATTCATGGCTGAGCTTGCGGTGAGAGTTTTTCCACTGGACTGTATGACTATTTTATATATTAGTTAGTATTTCAACTTTCTTTCATACCCATCAATTTTATCTCTAAAATATCATTTATTCTTGTTAAATGATTAATTTTCTCAAATCTCCTCATACTTTGCAAATAATTACTCTGTAATAGAGATTAAGTTATTCTGCACAGAAATTGGTTGTTAAAATTAACTATATTATGAGGGAGTATGCGAAACTGAAGTTTACCCCATGTCCTCATCAAAATAATACTTGACAACCTATCCTCCTAGGTGTGTCAAAATTTATGTAAAACATCCTAATTGCCTTCAAATTGACTGTTGTGTCCAAAGTCCAGCTCTCAGCTGTGTCCAGCGAACTGTTTTGTGTAAGTTGGAAAAGTTTATAAAAACGCGGCACAAAACAATAAAAAAAAGAAATTTATAATAAATTTCCTGTTACAGATTATTTGATGATGACACAGTAATGAAATGGGAATCATGTTGCTGCATTGTAGAACATCAAAATGAAAAGAATCATTATCTGTCGCCACCTAAAGTTTGTCAATGGTTTTCAGAAACAGTTACACAAGTAAGATCTAAAATCCCAAATGTTATGTTTTTTTAGAATGTTTTTTGATTCCTTAGAGAGAGTTTACTTAACCCTCTGTTGACAGTGAAACTAGGTCTTTGATGACTTAGTTTTTATTTTTATTGTTGATGTGGAAATTTATGACAGTGTCTAAGCTTCCATAAGAGCAGTTGTTTCTGAACCACCTTTATCAAACTGAATGTTTGAGACAATAAATATCACTACACTGTTTTCTCACATCCAAGTTTGTCCCGCTGTTGATGTTGTTTTATTTTTATATATGTACGGCATGATAGCTTCATGCTATGCGTACGTTTTCAAATGAACATTCACTATATTGTCCTGAGATTTACATAATGATGAGATTCCTTCATCTCTTTTTTATTAGTGTCTGTTATTATGTTTCTTATAAGCAAACTTTTTATTATATTTTTTAAAAATTGAAATTCAGGTGGTCCAGTCCATGCAAAAATCACACAGGCAAGGTGACCCTCTTATAACAGAGATTCATTCAAATGGAAGCGTAACTACTATTATACTTGCGTATGGGGGAACTCGAATTATGTATGATCTTGTTCCTGTAATATCATTTCGTGGATGGCCAGCTGTGGCAATGGGTTGGTTGACAGAAAATCATTATTGGGATGGAATCATACCAGAAGAAGAAGGTACATTGTATGTTGTAACATCATTTGTTTCCATTTGCACAACTCACAATAGGAAGATACGCTTTCTAAATTTGCGGGACTTCATCTATACAGATCAGAAAGGATTTCATATAAACACCTCATGAACAATGTCCTATCTGAACGGCTCGGCTGCCACAAGGAACTAGCTGAGCGAGGTTTTTGTGTGACCTAAATGTTCTCTGGCATTATATGTATATGCAAAAGTAAAGGCCTGGTATTTCACTATATTACTTCTTCCGAGTGGAAAATCATGCCCGTCTTACTGACTCAGTGTTGCTTGACGATATGGATTTTAACTGCTCTGGACTCAGCTGCAGCCTGCAATCATTTATCGACCATAATTTATGTTGAATAGTTGTTATTGGTAAATTCCTAATATCAATTCCATTTTTTTTTTCAGTGATAACAGGTTTTCATCTGGTGCCAGCATGTAGCACAGTTGGTCGCAAGGATGTTGAATGGCGTTTATCATTTTCTCGGAGTGAAGTTCAACTGAAAAGATTCATACCAGAGGCTTTCATGAAAACATTTTATGCATTCAAGGCTATCATGAACAGAGCACTGGGGAGGCACACAAAGGTAATTGTATTATAATTAAGCATCGCCCAAAATTGATAGAATATATTGAATCGATGTGAAATTATTTAAATTGGATATATAAATTCCTGGTTTTAGTAATAACTTAGAGTGGTTTCGTTTGAAAAATTATTAATTAATGAAAGTAATTAAAACTTCCATAGCAAGACCAAAATGCCTCATATTATAAAACTTGAAAAATAGATCAAATTGTGGTCTATCTGCATCTTCCCCACATGTCCATGTTGAACGCGACCCAGTTCAGAGTATTTGAATGTATTTGAAATAATAATTCAGTTTTGGCCATCAGATGCAAGATATTGTAAAATGCATCTCTTGTAGAAGTAATATTCTTTTACTAATAAACATAAGGCATTTTCTTGGATTTATGCTATTTATGTCAATGTTGGGCCGGTTAAAATTTTTGCTACCTAATATAATTTTATAGAGAATAGATGGAAATAATAGTAACAGCTATTCCAGTATTTTACCATAAAATCCTAATCATAATATCATTAGATTGGATTTGTGGGCTTGTTGATTGATTTTTATTTTGAAACACCTGGGTGATCATGTCATTACTTTTTGACAAGCTGGTAAAATTCAATAGTATAGCCAGTATGGTCAATTCACATCATAGGATGATACGCTGTGCACTTGTAATATCCTAAGGAATAAGTATATTATTAGGACATTCCAGATCAATGAATAATTAAAAGGCAAGAGATTACCTCTGTTATTGTTTTATCTGTAATATTCACACCATGTTTATACTTTGAAAAACAAGTGAAGCAATTCACTTTAACGTGTGACATGGTCGGGATTTACCTTCAAAAATTAATTTCTACTGTTAATTTATTACAGATTGTCAAACCTTACATATTACGAGCTTTATTATTATGGGCATGCGATCGAGTCAAACTTCAATGTCTGGCATCTGATGATAATGTCCCAGATACATTACTTGGATTGATAGATGATGTACTTCAGTGTTTATTGAGCAGGTAAATGTTACTATATAATGTTATGGGTGATATCAAAATAGCTGTTTCCTTTCTTTTCCGTATACGGTAATTATCAATTTCCTACCTTATAAATGTTCATCTGATCAAGTCTCATGTCATCCGGCCATCACTGGTGTGTGATGTGCCACCGTTATTTTACATGGTGTCAGTTACTTTGCTCAGAGAAGAGTTTTCATTACCTCAGAGGGAGTCCACTATCTTCCAAAAAATATAGATGGCCGAACAACGGCTTTGCTATTGTTTTCTTGCCATTTAAAGCAGAACTATATCTTTGAGTTTTCAAAACTTACCGGTATGTATATTAGGAAATGGATTTACATCCTGTTTTGTGGTCGTGATGTAGCAAAGCAAAACTACATTTTAATTGATTTACCTTATGTAAAACACAAAACCTTAATATTGAAATGGTAGAAGTTGGTATTGATATAGCAAATTATTTTGACTATTGATCTGAACTGTGAAATTGGTTGTTTTTCTAGTTATTATATAGAAGTTGCTATGAATCATTTTTTTGCAAAGTAATCAGGTCGGTTAAGACAGTGTGCAAACAAAGTATGCCGTACAATGTTTGCTTATAAATAACTTTTGTTAATTTTGCAATTTCTTATCACAGATCTTGTCCCAACTACTTCATACCGCAATACAATATGCTGAGCCATTTAGACGATCAAACTGTTTTAAAATTATGTCAAGTTGTTTTAATGGTGAGTATCGTAGGCAATTTAAGCAAAGTACAGACACTTTCTGAAATTAAAATTGCTTTTTGAGATGTAACTGATAATGATAATATATTAACATGAGAGACTCGTGAATAAAATTGATTAAATACATGTTAATATGTATTGAAAAATACGCTCACAGCATGTGATTCAAACACATCTCCATGGAAAATTTGAGTTTTTGAATGAAGTTCCATTTTTTCTCTCCGCTACAGGTTCGGAGTGATCCAGCTGAACATGTGAGAAACGCAGTTGATCAAGTGAAAGCTGCTCGGGAAATGACGAAGGAATACAGAGACAATAATTTAAAAAGAAGAACATCACTTCATAATAAACCTGCGTGAGTTAATATTAGCCTTACCCTAAACCCACAATAATGATTGGCATTTGTTTCACTATCGAACTTAGATATTAAATATTCCTGTTGGTAATTTCTCATTCTACTCTAGTGTTTAATTTTTTATTTATGATAATCTATTCAAGAACTTAACCACCTTTCAGGCAAAATGGTGTGGGTGGTAAAGTTGGTTCAAATTCTAGACAAGAAATGGACATAGCTGAAAGGATGCGTAAATTAGTCGATGAAAATCCAGGAAAGAGTATATCTGTTTTTCTTAATCCAGAAGACGGCTCAACTCCACATTTTAGAATTGATGGAAAGTTTTATTGAGTTTCCCATCAACATAGTACTTCTGGTGTATCATAGAGAAATATCTACGCTAAAAATAGTTACAGCAAGATCGCTTGGAAAGAAGACAATCTACGGAATGTCTCCCAATGATGGAAATTAGGAATTATTCCTCATCCAAATGTGCTAGCTAGTATTCTTGATGACAATCTGTGTTGGTGAAATTTTCAAATCCTGTATTTTTGTGCCGATTGGTTGAAGATGATTCAATCCAAACACTTATCAAACAATTCGAGAGCAATCTGAAGGGGCATGTCTCAAATATTTTGCCGTACTCTGCATTGAACCAGGCTGGGTTCCATGCTAGATGGAGTACTGCGAGGTAGCACATATTTGAAGCTTTTGTTACAAAATATCTTGTTCTATAGATTTTATATTTATTGCACTGATTATAAGAAGCTCACTCTTTTATTTGTAATTTTTTGAAGCATGACTGTGTTTGTGTTTAACTTTGTACCATTCCGTTCCTCTATTACTGATTAAATAAATAAATAAATAGCCATAATCTGGATATGCTCTCATTCTCTTGCTAATGGTAGGAAAATATTACAAGCATGACACGTGAAGGTAGTCCTATGGAGGAGAAGACTAAACGCTGCTACTATCTGGACCCTTGACTTCCATCCACATCCATTTTACACAATTGCAGTTTTTTATTATTATTCATTACAATAAATTAAGTGAATTATTTACATTGATGCCTTTTGAGCTTTTGGCACATGCACCATTCATTATTATATCTTTTCACAAGCCATCACAATAGCAGCTGTCGAAAAAACTGATATGAATTTGGTATTGAGGAGTTTGGGTCATGTTATGCTCACAGCTTACAAGAAAGACATTCATTTGCAGGGGATGTTTAATTAAAAGCATAAGCTGCCAGCGTACGGCAGCAATCATTGCACTACGTTGAGATAATAGAGTTACCGAATCTTCATTACAACGCAGGCTTTTCGAAGTAAACAACAGCACGCAGACTCTCTCCTTTATGCATTAAATCGAAAGACTTGTTAATTTCATCGAGTTGCAGCTGATGAGTCACAAATTCGTCCACCTTTAGTTTTTTTGCCATGTACTCATCAACAAGTTTTGGAACGCTGTCAACACTCTTCCATCCACCAAAAGCTGTACCTTTCCACACCCTTCCAGTCACTAGTTGAAAAGGACGAGTCGAAATCTCTTGACCAGCCCCAGCGACACCTATAATTGTAGAGACACCCCACCCCTTATGAGCAGCTTCCAATGCTGCACGCATGGTTTTGACGTTACCAATGCATTCGAAAGTAAAATCGCAACCACCATCAGTGCGGTCAGCAACAACATTCTGTATTGGATCTGAATATTTTAGAGGATTAATGCAATCGGTAGCCCCAAACATCTTTGCCGTTTCAAACTTTGCTTCATTGATGTCAATACCAATAATTCGGGAGGCCCCTGCCGCTTTACATCCCATTAGGACTGCAAGACCTACTGCACCCAAGCCCCAAACAGCACAAGTGGATCCATTTTCAACCTTTGCCGTATTGAGGGCAGCGCCATAACCTGTTGAAATACCACAACCCAGTAAACACACTTTATCAAGTGGAGCACTTTTATCTACTTTGCACAAAGAGATGTCAGCAACAACAGTGTATTCACTGAAAGTAGAAGTACCCATGTAATGTAGGAGCTTTTTCCCTTTGCATGTGAATCTTGTTGTACCATCTGGCATAAATCCTTTACCTTGAGTGGTTCTGACTTTTTGGCACAAATTGGTTTTTGGATTAAGACAGAACTTGCATTCCCGACATTGAGGAATATACAAAGGAATCACATGATCTCCTGGCTGGAATCCAACAACACCTTCTCCAACACTTTCAACGATTCCACCACCTTCATGTCCTAAGACAACAGGAAATCCAGCTTCAGGATCTGTCCCACCAAGGGTATATGCGTCAGTGTGACATACTCCTGTAGCAACCACTTTAAGACGAACTTCGTGTGCTTTTGGTGGGGCAACTTCTATGTTTTCTATAGTGAGGGGTTTACCGGCTTCCCAAGCCACGGCTGCTCGGCATTGTATTGTTTTGCCAGCTGTATCTCCTTCCATTTTAAAAGCAAATAATTTCTGATGGATAATAACACTAAAAAATTATACAACAGGTGTTAACTATACCGAGCAGTTATTAAAACAGCTCAATACAAAAATGCCAAAAATATTTCTAAACTAAGTCCACCAACTATTATACCAATTAACAGGAATACAAATGATGATCTATATTAATTTTCACAAGCTTTAAGGCATAGGCACTGTTCAGAGCTGTTTGACATAAATATGCAGGGCTCTGAAACGATATACACTATATCATGTTATAAGTTTCTGACAATCAATCAATGTATAATTCAATTTCAGAAGATAAAGTTTTGGCACAAATATGTTACTAAAATTATCAATTTTTAGTCTTGATTTTGCTTTATTAATACTGAAATATCAATTTATGCAAGAACTTTCCCACAAATATAGATATTCAAGCGGTATTAGGAACCCTTTCAGCATGTCTTTTCATTAACTCCTAATTTATGATTTTATAAAATCAAATAATCTATGTATTTCAGCTTATAGGGGCAGTATTAGGTATCAGACACAAATTGAAAATTGCTATTCTGTGGTGCTCTCAACTATTATAAATGAATAAAATCAGTTCAGTCATCTCAGTGTTGATCAACTTAAATAAGTTTCCTTATTATTCATTATTTTGTCTAACATAAATTCCATTTTATTTTTCATAACCGGCTGGCCCTTTTTGGTCCATTTACTCAATTTTTGATGGTCTATCTTTTTTAATTTTTTCTTTTCAAGACGAATTCGGTTTCTTTCCTCTTGTTCCTTCAAAATTTCTTCTCTTGATTTTCGTTTTGTTTTTGATTGTTCATAGGTTTGTATTAGTCTATTAGTATTCTTTTTGGGCATTTTAGTCCCGGATGTTTGTTGATTTCTTCCCTCATTTTGTTTTGATGAATCTTGTTGTGTCTGCAATCCCTCCTTACGAAGCAGTTTTTTGTACTTGTAATATGATCTCTTTTTCAAAGGATCGTCAGCGAACTTGGATTTCTGAGGTCTTCCTTTAACTTTACCCATTGCCCAATTCGACTAACTGAACTAATAGTGTAGTGTAATATATAATGCAGTAATGCGGTACCTTACGACTTGAAGAGAACGGTAGGTTTGATTATAATTACCGGTACCGTACTTAGTCGCGAATCACGATGCTTACACTCACGGCAGCCTAAAAGTCTGTAGCAACTTGCAAGCAGCGCAATATCAGCAATGACGCGCGTGGACGTTTCACATAGTTTCACTGACCCTTGATCCCTGAATTGTAACTACTTATTTTGAAAGTGTTTTGTAGAGTTAGCACTTACAAACTGACTCACATGTAGAAAACTATCATTTTTATTCAAAACGTTAAACCACGTGCCGCACAGGTATAGGTAGAAAATTTTAGACTCGGCGGTGTGGCGCAGCGTGCTAAGCGTTGGGAATACGCTCGCCACCGCATCTCTGATTACCTCGTTGCTGATAACCCTTCGTGGGATCGCAGGTTCGAATCCCATGCGGGGATGATCATGTGCGAGAGGATTGCTGGACTCCTCGCCGCCGTAGGGTGGTTCACGTCACCGCTGGTCGGATACGGCTCCCTCTACCATCAAGTCCATGCTTCCGAAAACAAATAACTGGCTAACTAATCCCATACCCGACCTGGACTGGTAACCGGACGAGAGGCCGTGGTTCGCCATATGATTAAGCCGTCTTATCGGCTTTCCTCTCCCCCGAGATAAATATGTAAATCCTATCCTATCTATCACAATCACAACGTTTGCGGTATAAATTTTAATTAAGTATAAGTTTACTTCGACTCCATAATAAACATAACATAGTTTTTGAGCGTAGTTTTCTTGTCTAATTAAAACCTATTCTTTAGGAAACGCAATTGAAAACTGACAAATAACACGTAAAACTACGAAAACGAGGCAATCTTTACAATCATGCTTGAATCAAGGTTTATAGTCACTTTGGCTTGAATAGGTTCGGCGATGTGGTGCATCGTGCGTTGAAAATACGCACACCACCTCTGATTGCCCCGTGTGGGTTCGCAAGGTTCGCAAGGTTCCCATGCAGAGATGGTTATGTGCGAGAGGATTGCTGGACTCCTCGCCGTTGTTGGGTGGTTCACGTAACCGCTGGTCGGTTACGGCTTCCTCCACCACCAAGTCCATGCTTCCGAAAACGAACAATATAACTAATCTCATACCCGACTTGGAATGGTAACCGGACGAGAGGCCGTGGTTCGCCATATGGATGAGCCGGCTTATCGGCTTTCCTCTCCCCCGGGATAAATATGTAAATCCTAATCCTAATCAAATCGAGCCCGATTCATTATAGATTTCATAAACAATAGTAAAATGCATGAATGAATTGTCAATAGTGTGCCATCCAAATACGTCCTCATTGTTAATAACGTGCCATTTCTAACATAACCACGCATTGTTCCCTATGTACTGTTCATAATGTGCCATTGTTAATAATGCACCATTCTCATGCTGATTCACTGAATACTGAAGGCTGAGCGCGTGGATTCCGATACAAGGTCAGATTAGTCCTTTGGTACGTATCGTTAGATGTCGCTCGTGCGTAACAATTTGAGAATTTTGCGATCGGACTTTGACCCGAGCATGTATGTCTATGTATTCTTTGGAATCGGGTTGCGCCCGTTTTGACCCACAATAATTCTACAATGTTCTGCCCTGAGAGGTCGTAGATTAAATGGCAATCGTTTTGTCGTTGGTAGTTGTAGTTCTGTAGCTATTGTGATTATTCCTAAGTACAGGCACACAAAGTAAAAATCGGAATAAGATTAATAGGGTCTCGTGTAGTGTCTTACCACAATGACTTATCTAGTGAGGCGCAGTTCTTACCACTTCATGGCAGCTCCTGCCACGAACGTACCACGCCGTCTCCTGCCATGGTTTTATGGCGCTATTACCGGTATATTTACAAATTCATGTACCATATTTTAGTTTATCATGCGAAATTATATCTACTTAAACCCTAACCCTAACCCCAAATCCATCCAAACTGTATCCATAAGAAAAACATTCTAACTCACCAAATATTTATCACCATCAGCAGATTAGGGGCAGCCCTGCTATTACAGCCGACCTGCCGTGGTTACGGCAGTAAAATTGGTGGTATTCGATTTGCTGCCGTAACCACGGCAGCTCGCTATTGGTTTGTGGCAGCTAAAAAGTCAGTCGCCGTGGGTTTGGTCTTAGTGGCCGTGGTTTGGAAATCCCGCCATGGTTTTGCGGCAGCTGTAGACGCCACAAAATACTTGAAACTGCACTTGTATCTAGTCTGCAAGTGGGCGTGGCGTAACAATGTTTGCATATATCATTCCTGACTGACCCCATGTTATCTTTTTCAGAACTTGTTGCTTTTTCAGAACTTTAGTTGATATTTTCTGCAATGATATAATAATGGTTCAGCTTCTATTAATCATTTTGTTACTTTAGTTTATAATTAATTTTGGCTAAGTATTTGTTAATTCAATTTAATTTAATAGAAACAACAAAAATGTTTCGAAGTGTCAAATTGATTACATCAATGCCAGCAAGACAATTGCTGTTTAGTGAAGCTCCAAGGTAATTATTGTAAGACAAGTATTTATATTTTTAGTGTCTTGTTGGCCAAACCCAATGTTATATCAGTATATATTTATACAAGAGTATAAAAAATTTTCTTCACAACTCAACAAGATTAGGTATTGAATATTATGCATTATGCCAGAAGTATGAACTAAAAAAACTTACTAGAAAGAACCCATCTTATGGATAGGATTTCCATATTTATCCCGGGGAAAGGGAAAGTCAATAAGAAGACCTAATCATATGGCGAACCATGGCATCTCGTCCGGTTACTAGTCCATTACTTGAACTGCCCTATGAAAGTGCAGGGTCCAGCAATCCTCTCGCACATAAATATCTCTCGCGGCATTCTAACCTGTGCGGAATAATCAGATGTGCAATGGTAGGCATATGTGTATTTATATTATCTGGAGACTAGGTTCTAGTTCAATATATAATAATGATACCATAAGAGGCATTCAAAAACTATAAAATCAGAATGGAGTGTTCAATTAAAAGCTTTTCTATGTTTATTAACAATTTCTATGACTAGTGTGATTTCATACTAAAATGTAATAAATATCGATGGTGAAATTATCAGGATTGCTATTATTTATTCATTCAATTATTCATATTCCAGGTATATCCGTTTATATATTTTGCTATATTTTTTTACAGAATATCACAATGTTATATCAGATTACAATCCTCAAGTACTGGAGCTACTCGGACACAAAGCACTGCAACGGCTGCAGTAGATACTGCAGAAATAGCAAAAGTAATTTCAGAAATAATTCATTGTTTATTATATGTTATTCGAATAATTAGTTTTATTGTTAATTTTTATATTATGTTTAATGTATTTTTACAGGAAAATGTAAAAGGTGAAAAAAGCAATGCCACAACTGCCCCAGTAAGTTCTTTTAAAAATATGTTTTCGCTTTCGATATTACTATCGATATATAGTCGATCTTATAAGCAATCATTATTGCAATTGGGAGAGCCAGGTGTAACTGTGGCTCTAAATTGTTATTGTTGTAAATTTGAAACGACAGCAAATCTCCTTGAAATTTGGCATTGCGATTATCCTCTATGCTCTGCTCTATATTATATATTCACAACATGAATTAACCTCCTGGCAATCATGCTTGCGCAAGCTAAGTTCTATATTATCACCAAAAGTGTTTATATATGGCCTTCCTATGCAGCTTCCTTTTATTTTTCTTCAAATTTTATTCTAAATACATCTTAATTTGGTTTAAATTATTTTGTTTATGGTATATATAGATGTTATTTTCTACATTTCTTTGGAGCAACATGCTTTATTATTTTGTGTATTGCACCAATACATATAATGCATATAATTGGATATTTTATTCTTTAGACATCCAAATCGTTTGTAATGAATATCTTCAAAGGTGAACTTGTCACAGAACAGATTTTACCATTCCCAAAAAGTGAGTAAACAAAGAATTTTTTTACACTCATAATAATAAATCTAGCTGAATTAAGACACGTAGACAAAACTGCCATTGTCTCATTACTTGCCATTGATTTCTTATTTCTTAGAAATGTCATTTTTTTTGTCTCATCCGCCATCTGTCTTTTTCATAATTTTGACACATAAATATGTTATTTTACAAAACACAAATTTCTTGTAATGGGCCTGTCAAAATCAATTTTATTAGCAATGAAACAGAACCTGTTAATGACAACATGATAACCTTTGATAATCCGCAACTTTGTTTTGTTACATTTTTCATCCAAAACACTGGCATAAAATTGAAACAACCTGTTTGAATAGATTAGATTTGGGTTTCATTTTTACCTGCTGTTTCATACCATTATCTGTAGGTTCATTTCAATTGTCATTAACTTAATTCCTAATTAATAACATCCGTCTATTTCAGAAATTTTATTATTTTCATATGGATTTAATTGAAAACCACGGTGATTGACAAGAAGTATATTATTAATCTAATCATATTTTTCAGCATTAACAGAAGAACAAGAGGAATTTGTGAAAGCTATGATTGATCCAGTTACTAAATTTATGAATGTGAGTAGCTTCAAATTCCAGTGACCATAGAGAAATGACTCATTCTTGAAGTCTTATTCCGCATAATATATATTCCATTTTGGAATAGTTTTTAATGGTATAAAATTTTCTCATAATAAAATTATTTTGACATTATGTCTTATGAACTTTACATCAGAACAGAAGACATATCAGAAAATTTGATTGTTGATTAATAAAAGTTTTTTTATTTCAGTTATATTCGTAAATAGTGTAAATTCCTTCTTACACCATAATTTGAAGTATATTATATTCAGATACCAATATATATTTATTTTTTCTGAAATAGTGGATTGTGGAAATCTTGATCAGGCAAATTGAAATTCTTGAGTGCATTCATTTTCTGTGACATTACATCATAAGGTCAAATGAGGTCATCTTCAATAACGCTTACTATATTACTATTAAGAGTAATTGTAAATAACTAAATTCAAGAGTATTCTATATGTATTTTACTAAATTATCACTCCTAATGCTAGTGGATAGTGGGCAAGTGAGAACGTGATAAAAATCATGTTTTATAGTAATCCTTAATTAATAAGCCTCTGTCCCCTGTGATGAAACACCATCTTGAGAAAAGACAACCAACATGTCCAAAGTCCACATTTCCCTTATTTATTCAAATGACACAGGTAAAGGTTAATGGTACACATTCATGTCACAGCATCCTTAAGTTATGCTGAATCATCCATAAACAAGTCTTGGCCATAGATGGGCCATGCCTCAACAACTTGAATGATGAAATTTTAGGTTTTATGGTGAAGTGTATATTTGATGATGGTTTGGCTTATTGACGTATTTTTGTAAAACCCTTGGTTGTGTACATATTTTATAAAGACTAGCCATATGTTGTATTATACTACAAGTATGTCAATATATTACGTTGTAATTCTTTTAAATTTGTTTAAATTCTAATACTCAAAAAATTTCTTTTTTAATTGATATTGGTTGTGTGTACCCGTATCACACTATTATAGCCTTTTTGAAATCATTTCAGGAGGTCAATAATCCTGCCGCAAATGATACCCTGGAAAAAGTAGAAGATGGGACATTTGAAGGATTGAAAGAACTGGGTGCATTTGGTTTGCAGGTGACTTCCCATGCTAGTTTACTTTGTTATTCACCTGTATTTCCTTAATTTTCCTATAGCTTCTTCGCAAGCCTTGATGGCCAAAATTCAGCACAATTAAGAGCGAACCAGAACCAACAGGATTCTATCACGAATTTTCTTTCCTTGATTTATTTCACTTGAGAAAGTCTTTTCTATATAACATATTATATTCTGTGCAAAATATTCGGAAGTTTTATAGTCATCAGTGCTTAGTGATGAATGTACCGTAATATTTATACATTTTATGTGTTTTTTGGTAGGTACCTGCAGAATTAGGAGGAGTTGGACTATCCAATACACAATATGCAAGAGTAGTTGAAATTGTTGGAGGACAGGACATGGGTAATTATTCGTTTTTGACATTTTGATGTGAGCATAACTTGGGTGACGATGTCGAACTGACATGGGCAAACTACGGCCCGCGGGCTAAGTTCGGCCCATTGGGTAATTTGATCTGGCCCGCCTGATGCTGCTACATCCAAACTAAAACCAAAATTTTGATGCTTTAGATAAAAATAGCTGACGAAAAATTTTGAGATTGCATTCAAATTTAGTTCTGTCATGAGGCTTTTCACTTTTGTAACACTGTAAATATTGTTTGTAAAATGTAACGTTTTACGTCACACTTACATGGCCCGCCAGTCTAGGTGGGCACAATTTTTGGTCCCTAGTCCAAAAACCTTGCCCACCCCTGATGTAGAATGTCTTCACTCTTCAGTATGGAAAGGTATTCGGAATGGTGAAATAGTTCACCAAAGTAGATTTTAAGAATACCACTTATGGACTGTGAGATACTTGAATCTTTTATTCTTCAAGGTGTCGGTATTGCTCTTGGTGCCCATCAGTCAATCGGCTTCAAAGGGATTTTACTTCGAGGAACTCAGCAACAAAAAGAAAAATATCTTCCAACACTTGCAAGTGGAGAAAAGTTGGCTGCATTCTGTTTAACTGAGCCTGCGAGGTATAGCCATCTGAATCAGAGAACCTATTTTAAGCAAGACAATTTCCTTAAAACTCCCAAGAGCACTTGATGTTAAACATTTTGAATGAACAATGACAACAGCTCTTTGTAATAAACAGGAAAATTAAGTTGAATCCAGACATAAAGAATCGAAACGATTGGGGGTCTTTTATCAACGTCATTTTTTTTAATACAGTAGTTAAGATACATGTCTCAAAACTCTAAACAAATCCATATGTATGACTGCTGAGTGTTGCCTCAAACTATATAGAGTGTTTGTAAAGTCTTGTGTGTTTGTAAAGTCTTGTTACAATTTCAATTTGTTATAAAATCAGTTACAGGGGCAGGGGCCAACAAACTAGATATGTAATTGATAAATTCCCGTTTCAATTTAAAGAAAACTTCAAGACTATAATATCACCCGATATATTTTGAAATTCCATATTTGAGGTATTTTAATTTTTAGTAAACAGTGCCATGTTATATGCTGAAGTCTTCCAAAATCAACTCTCAATATATCTGCTTGGCATTTACAAGTAGATCGTCCTTATGACATTACCAGCTGTTGTATATCATGCATTGTACTTGAATCCTTTTTGAAATTTTCAGTGGATCTGATGCAGCTTCGATTCAAACACGAGCAGTGAAGAGTGATTGCGGAAAATATTACATCATGAATGGAAGCAAAATTTGGATTAGTAATGGAGGAGTTGCTGATGTATTTACTGTGTTTGCACAAACTGCGGTGAAACAGAACGATGGGTCAACGAAAGATAAAATATCTGCATTCATCGTTGAGAGGGATTTTGGTGGAGTTACAAGGTGAATTGTTTAATTACATTTTATTGAAATATTGACGAATAGGAAAGTAAGTGAAAGTGAGTTTTTTCACAGATATTAAGAATTAAAAAAAAATTGCTAATTTTTAGTATATTTCGTTTTGGTGTCGTGTACATTTTAGTATTATTATACTTTATTTATGATATATGATAAATAAATTTGTGGTAATTATTACTGATTAGCAGGTTGAATAAATTTCTTCAAAAACGAGGATGAATTTATTAATATAAACCAACTTTGGCACCACTTTCTCTTTGCATCAATTCAATGAAGCACTTTCTTTTAAAAACAGTGGTCCCCAGAGAAAAAGATGGGAATCAAAGCATCTAACACAGCAGAAGTTTATTTTGAGGATGTAAAAATACCTGTGGAATGTATGCTCGGTAAAGAAGGAGATGGATTTAAGGTAATTTCGATTAAAAATCAAGTCAAATGGAAATATTGAATACAAATAGCAATGCCAGTACTAGTATTTTTCCTGAGTATATCCAGTTATATGGTTTACTCACAAGTCACTACCACATCTCTGATGTGTTACTTTTTTAAGAATGCCTTATCTGGTATTTTTATTTAACTCCTTCATTTTTCTAATGAAAATTCTTTATATTGACTTTTTATAATAGATTGCTATGCATATTCTCAACAATGGGAGGTTTGGTATGTGTGCTGGTCTTTCTGGAACGATGCAGACTATGATCTACAGAGCGGTAAATATTCCCGTTGTTATAGAAATCCTATGGTGTATGCGATATGAAAAAAGCAAAAATTTTATTAGACTTCTGTGAATTACCATGTTGCCATCTATGGTTTGTGGCCTTGGAACAGGCTGTTGTCTCTTTTGATATCGCGAACTATATGATAGACTGGGTGACCCAAAAACAGAACCCAGGTCATTTGAAACATATTCTAATAAGAACATAACTTATGTGCAAAGCGTCCTAGTTTTCTAAAACTTTTTGGTACAATCATGCTTGAATGGTATACGTGTGTGTTGAATAAGTTTTCCTAATTTTTGTAGAAGTAATTAAGAAATTTATGGGTTCTGTTTGTTTGACCCTTATCAATCTAATTATACCCTGAATGGCACTGATGGGTTATGATACAACACTATTTTTTACGTTGTTAGCGAGTTTATCAACTCGTGCTTTATCTTTTTAATTTTTTTACAATGACTTTTAAAAGGCAGAACACGCGTCCAACAGGACACAGTTTGGTAGCAAAATCCACGAATATGGTACAATTCAAGAAAAACTTGCTCGTATGCAAATGATGCAGTATGTAACTGAATGTATGGCATATGTAGTTTGTGCAAACATGGATGCCGGCTATGAAGATTTTCAATTAGAAGCTGCCATTGCTAAAATATTTGCATCTGTGAGTACAATTCACTGGTCTTGCATAATGTTTTTTATTGCTTGTGTTAATAGCTAATATTTATTACCAATGGTTATACCTTGATCCAGTGGTTCCCAAACGAGCGAGGGCCATAGAGCAGTTGATGGGGGCGCAATTCTAGGCACAAAACTGATTTTCTTTCTCATTCTTGTTTTATTGATGATAAGGTCCAGTCACAGGGTGTTTCCATTGTGTTGAGCAATAAGTTTTTGAACATAATTGGATTTCGAATCTATCAATCAAAATAACATTATAAATATCACTGTTATGATAAAAAGGGAGCCCTCGGAAGGGTGGCCACGAGCCCCAAAAGGTGGGGAACCACTGCCATAATCAATAGATTATTGTATGGTTCACTCAATTTCAGGAAAAAATGGTTTCGTTGTACAAAATGGTGGTGATGTATGTTCTATTGGTATAAGAGTGAAATAAATTTTTTGTTTAAATTCACCCTTAGTCATTTACTTGTTCCATTTATTCCCTTTTTATTTGCTTGGCATGCCGATAGTAAACCATATAAACTTTTTATTGTAGGAATTCAAATAATTTGTCAATCTGTAAAATTTTTAAATATTAAATCACATATGTATTTAATTTTTTAGTTGTATTTCATATGCTTTTTTTGTTGCTAATGCTGTATCAGAATGAGAACCTAGACACATCATGGGTCGATGGCCTTGATGACTTTCATCAGCCTTGCATACTGACCCTCACAACAAATCAATGATCAAAATTTTTTTATAGTGTATCCCTGTACCATGATCCTACTAATTGTACAGTAGATTAATCAATTGGAGGATTCCTATCTTTAAACTTAAATCAAAAGCGGCGGGATATTTGCGTGCCGGGGAGGCGAGCACCCGCGAGGTGCCGATGCCGTTACATATAATTAAGATACCGATATTATTGAATTGTTAACGAATATACACATCATATTTAAACTGTCATAGTGAAGTAACAATGAGCCATATCAAATCGGGAACCACTGGCGTAGGGCATGTTTCGTAGGCAACTGATATGTAGTAGGGACTTAGAATATATAGTCAAGCTGAATGAACTTTCCCCCCCTTATTTTTTAGGAATCTGCATGGACAGTGATTGACGAATGTCTTCAAATTATGGGTGGAATGGGGTATATGAAGGATGCTGGAATTGAACGATTCATGAGAGACATCAGGATATTCCGTATTTTTGAAGGAACCAATGAAATTTTGAGACTTTTTGTTGCCCTTACAGGTAAGAGATCCATTCTCTGTACCAAATTTCTCATTGATAGTCTTATTTTTAAGTCAAGTATTTATATATATTTTTTTCTATATAATATAGATATCATATTTTTTCCTGTTGTTTAAGTTTTGGTGGTAATATTATTTATTTGCTTGAATTGAGAGAAATTTTTTTTTTGATGGTAATTCAAACATGACAGGTATTCAATATGCTGCCAAAGCAATGGAACCTGTTACAAAAGCCATGAAATCACCAATCACAAACATGGGAACACTGTTTGGATTTGGAACCAAATATGTTACAAAAAGAACAAAGAGGTTTGTGTTAGTGTCACTTATGAACAAGTCACCTATATGTAAAAAGTTAGGTCAGCAACAGTTATTTGAAATTTATTTGTTTTTGGTCCTTTAATATCGCTTGATGATGACACAAATAGTGATTGGTGTGGACAAGTTTTTTACATTTGATTGAATTTGGTTACATTATGCTAATACGCTTCTTTAAGATGCAATAAGTTACAAAACAGCAGATTCTTGTGTCCCGTGAGCGAATGCCTCTTTGCCATCATATCTGGCTCAAAGGCTTCCAATCAATTTATTGGAAAATATCGATGGTAGAGTGACTAGCAACAAATAACCTGTTGAAATCAATATAAAATTTTATTTTTTAGCACAATATTGGGCTGTAGTGTGTGTACCAGGTTAGGGTTAAGGCATAATTTTATTGCGATTTTCCTTATTTTAGTTCTATCATGAGTTTGGGGACTGTCTGTGTCAACCAAGGGAATATACCCAGTGCTGGGATTCAGCCGGTTCGCAACGGTTCTATAGAACCGACTCACAGAATTTAATGAGATCAGCGAACCAGTTGGGGTTACTATCAATGGATTTTTGCATCTTATCTGACACATCGATCTTTGAGATCAGTTTTTTTTTTTAATGTGAAATGATCAAGTTCGCATCGCACGTAACAGTTATACATTGTGTGAACTTTTATAATTGGAGTAATTTTCCTTTAGTGATTGTTTGTCTGAAAGTTGAATTGTTGCGAGTTGCGACAAGAGTACAAGTCATTAGATGACTGCTGCTTTTTTGTGTGGCTGTAAGCAGTGATGGGATTGAGCTGGTTCGCACCATTTGCGGAGGTTGCATCGTGTTCTCGCAACTACCGGTAATTTAATATCAAGAATAAGTTGTTAGATAGTTTGGTTTTAAAGAATGTGATGGTTATGAATGCCCCTATCGTTTCTGTTTAAAGCTGTATTTGAAAAGCTTTTTCCAATTTCAGTTAATCGTATTTGAAGTGCGCAAAACTCGCGATATGGCCGGGCAATCTTTCCGGTACGTCGGTTAGTGGATATGCTGAAATGTCTGACGCATTAGCTCTGCTGGGTACCAGTAACCCTACCAACAATCGTCGGTGAAAATGCACAATTGCTTACAATTCACAAGCGCTTATGTTGTTATTAAAATAGTCGATTGTTTTCGCCAGCGTGACGTGCTACTCAGCCAGTAATGATTTTTATTCCAATGTTTATTCTCCCGAAATAACAAATAGCAGAAGACATATGTCTTGTATCAAGAGAAAGATGAAAATTACTTATTATTTATTTTTTGTCAATTGTGCGAGCAAGACACTTTAGCGTAACTTTTTATATAAAATATTTAAAGTATCATCAATTAACTTTTTGAAATAAATTTAACTCCATGAAATTTTATTGCTGACGCAGGGATTTATCTAAGGGTGATATCTTGAAAGCATTAGAGTCGATAGAGCCGTGCTTATCTAACCATTATTTTGAAATGTTAATCAGGAAGTAATTAAAAATAATCAGTTTATTTGCTGAAAAAAAGATGACTTTTTGTGATGGAACCGGCTGACAAAAAATTTGAATCCCACCACTGAATATACCCCCTGCCCATAGGCTTCCGTCCCTTCACACAACATAATGTATAGTAGGCGAACAAAATTACTTTAATATTGATACACACTTCTGGAGCGCCCAATATTGTGACACAAGTCATACACGAAAACATTTTTCTAGCTTCTATCTAAACATATACTTTTGCAGAGCATTGGGCATTGGTGGAGGCCTTCAAATACCGTCAGACATCCATGCAGATGTGTCGAATTCTGCAGCTCTTCTCACAAAAGCAATCTTCAAATTTAGTTTGGCTTCAGAAGATTTGATGTTGAAATATGGAAAGAAGTTGGTTGGTAGGTTACAATGTTATTTCTGAGCAAATTTACATGGGATAATCAGTGTTTATGTGCTGGAACAGACTTTTCATCTCATCCAGGAACATCAGATAATCAGACAAGCAGCAGTAACGATCAACCTCTTTCTACCTTTAAGTATATGTGTGCATGAAAAGTTTTTCAAAATTTGAAATGAATTGTTGAAGTATATGGCGATATCATCGTTTTCAAAATTTCCACCTCTGATGGAATTTCATAATTACACATAATGTTGAGCATGTTACTTCAGTCTTGTTGGAGGCTCGGCGGTGTAACTCAATTTTCTAAACGTTAGGAACACTCTCGTTATTGCACCTCTGACTACTCTATGTGGGATTGGCGGTTCGAATCCCATGGGGATAATCAGGTGCGAGAGGATTGCTGCACTTGCCACCATAGGGTTCGTTCGCGTAACCATCGGTCAGTAACGGCTTGCTGTACCATCAAGTCCATGCATCTGAAACAAATAACCGACTAGAGGATCCCATACCCGACATGGACTGGTAACCGGCGAGAGGCCGTGGTTCGCCATATGATAAAGCTGTCTTTTCTCTCCTCTGGGATAAATATGTAAATGAAATTGTCATTTAATAAAATTGTAGAAATCCTACATACATTGGCTATTTCCTTGATATATATCTGTATATGAACTTGTATTTGTTTTTAGATGAGCAATTCCTCCTAAATCGAGTCGGTAATTCTGCAATTGATATATTTTCAATGATGGCTGTGATTTCTCGATCTTCCAAGGCACTTAGCGATGTAAGTTTAGGATTGCAATATCTTCTTAATTAGTCTTATGCATCTTGCTATACTGGGTATATAGTAACAGAATCTTTTGGCACATGCTGGTATAACAATAAAACACTGCGCTTCTGGAACTTTTTGGTGGAAGGGTTTATTTTCTTGACATGTGATGAACTTAATAAGTTTAATGTTAATATAGAGATTTCCAAATTCATATTTTTAGGGCACTGATGGAGCAAATAACGAAGCACGTATGTGTAACATATGGTGTGCCGAAGCTGCAAAGCGTATTGAAGACAACCTCGACATAGTCGGGAGCAAGGCGGCAAAACAACAATTTGCGGACATGTCAGCAATTGCGACAGAGATTATCGACAAGCAGGGAATTATACAAAAGCATCCCCTGGGATTCTGAGAATGTTTCTTCATAAATTTATGAAAGTTCAGTTCCAAGTTCATTTCTTATCTTATGTTTATTCAACTACAATGTAATGCCAGGCAACGTTCAATTCACTCTTGTGATATCCGCGTTATGCCGTTGTTTTGTGTAGATATTGTTCCACATCACTGTTCGAGATTATGCCTTATACCACATCCTAATATAACAATCTCCTATTTCGTATAAATATTCTATGTCCTTATCTTTTTTGAAGAAAATGATGTTGGGGCGTTGTGTGTTTATTTAAGTATATTTTGTTTAAATTTTTTGCAATAAATCTGTGGAAACTAGTTGGGTCGAAAAAATGTTAAAAACACGCTACATGTTGTGTTTGCCTGATTGTAGCTAACACACTTATGCCATTTTTGACTGGGAGTGCGTTGGTATATCTTCCTACATGTGAACAATTTTATAAGCCAGGATTCATCTCAAATTCATAGGTAACACACTTATGCTATTTTTGACTGGGAGTGCGTTGGTATATCTTCCTACATGTGAACAATTTTATAAGCCAGGATTCATCTCAAATTCATAGGTCTTCAATTTGATCAGGATATATTACCTCTGGTTTCGTGTGCGCATTATATCAGTCCCCAATATCAAGTAATGTTAGCTAAATGTATTTCAAATCTTTCGCCAACAGTTCGATTTTGTCTCAGAAAAGGAGAGTTCAGGTGTAGTGAGACTCAATGGAGCGCCTGGTCATGACAGGTGTTCGACAAAACTTTTCCTTTGGTCAATTGAAGGGGAATGATGTCTTCTAAAAACTAAAACACTCCCGTGATGATTTTACTCAGCCTTATATCTTTGGTATATTTATTCAAGATGTAGGCTATCGGCTTCGCCTGGAACAGAACTCCTACCTGTTTGTAGCTATTCATCAGTAATGCCATCTCTAATAATTATGAAAGAAAATTTCAACCGAATATTAGTGGATTTTACAATGCACATCATCTAAGATCCAGTTGCCAGTCAGTCACGAGATTCATTAATGAAGGTTTATCAATGTACGGTAATATTTCTCGTGCTGTTTGGCCAACATATATAATTGAGTTTATTTCCCGCAACCCCCGTTCTCAATGTCTGTACTCTCTTTCCGTGAAGTGTAAAAAACTTGATAGTCATTGCCAGTTTTGCTTGCATGGCCTATTTATTCCATACCCATCCCAAGGAGGCATAACTTAAAATATGTTTAGAACCACTGCTCTGGAGGGTATAATGACAGCAAATGGACAAAAAGTCAGTCAAATACGAAATTGTCGCTAATGACGCGTGCGATTCTCCGAGTCTGTGCTGATTTTGTTAAATGGACGATTGCTTTCGTCAGCGAGATGTGGTCAGTAAAATGTAAATTGTGACAAAAATCCCAATCTGTTCCTAAGAATCCTAACAGTATGTTAACAGAGGCTTGCATACACGAATTTCCATTACCATGATTTGATTTCCCCATAGATCAGATTCCCAGTGGATCGCAAATTTTATCCACAACCTTGCAAATTTTCTTAATAGCTCGACCGTCGACCCCAACTAGTGTGAAGGTCAGAATCTACAGACCTATGGCATGGGTTTACCACATAACGAAACAGGAATGTAATCTTCCACCTTCACACTGTCCTACAGGCTATTGCTGTAATGATTGCTAAATAGGTGAAACATATCAAGACAACAAGCAATGATTTTTGTTGTTATTTCGGCATTGAAACATAAAATATAAGAAGGTGAAACTAATTTATATCACCAAAAAGCAATTTATTTTTCTTCGGGGTAACCCTTGGGTCTCCATATTGGATGCACCCATTCCACCTGAAAAATAATATATCGGTATTCAGCGATGGGATTCTAAATTTATAATGTGTTAGTATATTGGAGTATATTCTACTGTTTATCTACAAGCAACAAGCAGGTTTGATGCCACTAGACTGAAAAACTATTTACTCTGCAACATAACAATAAAAACTACAAGAAAAAAGAATTACGGTAATCATTGATTCAATAATTGTGTTTTAGCTATGTGAAGTTGATTTGTCACAATATCGAACAGATGGAAAGGCACAGTTCCAGACAATATAGCAGACATAGATTTTATTTATATTTAGGAGCGACATTATTAAGAACAAAGTCTGCATCTCTCATTTTGGAAAATTAGAACTTTGGCCTCAAGATGTTTAAAGTTATGTTCACGACTTGAAGCTGGGCAATGTGGGCATCCCCAAAAACATATGAATATCCATTTTCTGGGATTTTGAAATGTCCCAGTTTCACCGTCCACATCGCTTACTTCACTAAAACATTTCGGGTCTAGTATAGTTTAGTACCACAAGTACTTCCAGTGGGCGTAGCATAACGATTCTTGCATATGTTATTCCTAACCCTCACCTGACTATGCCATCCAAAAATTATGTCACTACGACGTCACCATCACGTCATAGGGATTACCAAAGTATAATTACGATCGCCCGAAATGGCATCTGCGCCGCCGATAAGAACTTGCTAAAGCCGGCGAGCTCTCTTCTATCGTGATCGTTGCGACGAGAAACCGAGAGAAATAGCTTGCTCGATTTCGGGTTATCGTCTGCGCGTTTAGTACGACCATCAGCATACTTCGGTGGGCCTTATTACGCCACTGTGCCGTCAGAATGATGTAATTTTTCGGTGACGTAGTCAGGATTGACATATGCAAAAATTGTTGAGCCAGGCCAACTAGAAGTGGATGTGGTACTAAACTATACCAGACCCAACATTTCATAGGCTTGATCGTGTGGCGTTAGGAATACATTCACCACTGTACCTCTCAGGCTCCAATTACCAAGAGTGGGTTCGCAGGTTCTCACTCTGTGGGGGATAAATATGTGTGAGCGGATTGCTGGACTCTTCACCGCAGTAGGGTGGTCCACTTCACTGCTGGTCGTTTACGGCTTCCTCCACCATAAAGTCCATGCATATGAAATGAATAACAGGCTAATTAATCCCATACAGGACATGGACTGGTAACTGGACGATAGGCCCTCCTATTCTATATGCTGATATGCTAAGCATTTATATTTTGTTCAAACACGATAGGTTAACAACATTTAGTTTAGTTTTTTAATTTTTGTACATCAAAACATATCTACAACTACTAAAATATCTGAAAAATAAATATGGTCAATTATAATATATATACCTTCTGTGGAAACAATGACATTCTTGTATCTCTTTCTGCTAATCTGTATCCAATTGTTTCTCTCTGACCACTTTGTGCTCTAGGCGCTATCTGGTGAAAATATGGAAAAGCAAGATAACAATGGAAATAATAGAACATTCAGATAAATTCAAATATAATCATGCTTGCCAATATATCCAATTAAATCAATTGTGCTGTTGAAATGCTTTGATTTACAAAACAGACATGAGTTAAATTATACAAAGAGGAGCCACAGTTTGACTTTTCTTTCTTTTTTGTCAGTTGTATAATTAATTTTATCAACTTATTACATTCACGAATTAAACTCATTGAATTATTTACTGATTACATTCATGACACATTATAATTCAAACCTAATTCTGATAATTTCAAAAAAGTTACCCTGCTGTCTGTGAGCCCTCTGTAACTCCATCTGAAATGTAGAACATCTGCTGTAAAAATCACACCAATCAGCCCAGTAAATATTCCGACTACGGGCAGTGCCTCCACCCAAGTCATATTTCCACTGCCTAGTGTTAATTCAAATTTTTTGTATCACCAAGTTTGAAACATAATATCTGAAATACAAAAGATACAGTAGGTCTATGGTCTGACAAAATATTTTATAAAAAAGTAAGAAAAATGCTTTATGCAATGTGGACCATGATAAATTACAACAAATGAATTAGAAAAATAATTTCAGAATATGGTAAATGTGATAGCTGGAAGAAGCAATAGAATATTTTTAAGGCATTGAACAGTCAAAAAGAATAGGATAAATAAATAGTTACTTATTTATCCTGAGGAGAGAGAAGAAGAGTTATTTTTTATATGCGTAAATTTTACAAACACTACTGAAAACTGACAAATGGCATGTAAAATCGAGACAATAATTCTGAACGGTTGCCTTAATTACAATTTAGGGTATTGCTGACTGGTTCTCAATCCGTAATAAACAAATCAATGCTCGGTGAAACAATAACTTCTATCAACAAGGCGATTCCCGAAATACCAAAATCTCGAATAGGAACCATGTTTGCCTTTACTAAATCCCAGCCCATCTAAACAAGATGATAGGCTATATCATATAAATATTGCATTGCTATTATTAACGGCTATGAACCGCCAATTTCAAATAATTCTCATTGGTTTTTCAGCTAACTTTAGTTCTCTGTAGTCTCGAATTTGAATTTGTTACATCTCTAGTCATAAGTCATTGGTCTTCTTGTAATTTCATTCCCATGCTAAAGAGATAGCGACTATTGGTTAGTTTTGATTAAAATCAAAAATTTTGTTTGATGTTCCACAAAGAATTCATCTAAAACAGTAAAAGGTGTTCCACGATTCGAAAAAGGTCAGAAGGTTGGAAATTACAGAATATAGAAAATGAACTCAAGACTTTCTAATTAGCATAATTGAAAATTAACAGTAACAATCACATAACAGATAAGGTTAAAGTTAACTTTGATAAATATGCCTTAATACATTTTCAAACAGCAGAAAAAGGACCAGCGTTAGGAATTCCAGAATTTGCTCGCCATTGCAACTCTGATTACCCTTGCATGGATTCGAAGCCCATGGCAGCATGGGCCGTAATTATACCGGTATACGAGAAGATTTCTGGACTCCATCCCTTTTAAAAATCACCTAACAGCTGACAAGTACGGTACCGGTACAGGTACCTACCGTACTTAAGGAATGCGCTCAAGGTTCGCATCCCAGGGGGCAAATATGTGCGAAATCGGTGGACTCCTCGCCGCCGTAGGGTGATTGCCGTACTGGTACGATAAGCGGCGCTGTTCGGTCCCTTCACGGCTCCACCATCAAGCCGGCATCAGGGCGATTAATAAATATAAAGAAAGTAGACATGGCAAGTTAGCCCCCCTTCTCTCTCTCGCGATGTCGATCAACAAATATAAAGAA